TGCCCTCACACAGAAATACATGCAGGCAAAACATCAATGCTCATAAAATAAAAATAATTTTAAAAAGAATGTGTTCATACACAGACGTGTGCAGACACACATATACATATATGCTTTCACGCGCATCTACCCAGGTAAGCACTAAGAGCACCCACGAGTCCCGAGCACACCCTTCCTTATCCTGGCCTCTATATACCCCTCTCCTACCAAGGAACTACATCCACTAAAGCAGAGGCCAACTCCTGAGCTAGGACAAAGGAATACACAGATGAGCCTAGCACATCTTGTGCCAGCAAGTCAGCGATGCTCCCAGAATGACTGGGAGTGTGCCAGAGATATACAGATGCCAACCTGGGCCTGTTCCCACTGTCGCCTCAGACAATGTGAGCACCGAGGTAAATAATGGTTGGAGCAGATTAGAATAAAACAGGAAACGTAACCCATGCTGGGTGGGAAGAAAGAAAGAAGTGGGGAGAGGAGAAAGGAAGAGAGGATGAGGGGAGGGGAGGAAAATCAATATTTACCTTACCTCAAAGCACCTCCTTAAAACCTAGGCTCCCCGATAACCAAACCGTTAAACTCAGCATCCCCAGTCAACAGGCAAGGCTCTGATCCAGGGGAAAGGGCGGCAGGCGGATGGCCTGAGTCTAATTCTGAGGCATTAGCTAAATGCAAATCTAAGAAGCCTGCACCTTGGCTGTAAAGACCAATGAAAGAATATCTGGGAAAGGCTTGGGGCAGAGAGGTGTGGCTGAAGATCCCAGGTCACCTTTGCAGGAAAGGACACTTAGCTGGGACACCTGGGAGCCTTGCCCACAGCCACTGCCTCTGATACAGACAGTCCTGCTATGGTGACAGAGTGCACACACACTTGCTGGAATGCACTAGACATTAGGGGCATAGAGTACCAAGTTCCTGCTTACCGTCAGAGGTCCACAAGAAAGTGACCTCAACTACACAACTTGGCCATGAGACAGAGCCATTCTCAGACTGTAAAACTGCCTGGCTTGAAGCTGGAAAGAAAGATGGCACATCCTGTTCTTCCAGAGGACCCAAGTTCAGGTCCCAGCACCCACATCAGGAACTGGATGTAACTCCAGCGCCAAGGGATTGAATACTCTCTTTTGACTACCAGGACATCTATACTCTTACACACCACACACACACACACACACACACACACACACACACACACACAAAACCACAGATAAATCTGTTAAAACTGCCTGGCTTCCTTGAGAATCATCTTTCCTTTCTCTTCTTCCCCAAACCCCTGTGTCTTCAATTTCAGCCTCTCCAACAGATTCTCCACACACACTCTCAAGAAACTGGGTACCCATCCAACGGCCCGTTTCTCAATCACAAAACATTTTATCCATACCCACTGGCTGCCCTTGCTTGCTGAGACTTCATGAGAACACTGGCCAGCCTGCTCCCTTGACCCTCCCCAGCCTGTGACATGGAGCCAGGCAAAGGAATGGTTCCTTGAATGAAAGTAAAAGGAAAGAACATTGTTGTAGCCACGGGAGGTCAGGCTGAAGGGAGTCAGAAAGGATGCAGCTCTGCCTGGAGAGGCTCACATCCTTGAGGACCCAAGACCGACTCAGATGGCAACATCCTTCATGATCTAAATCCCCCAGGACCTGAGTCCAGGTGAGCAGGCAGCAAGGGGTATTTGTGAGAAAACAGGGTGTGGAAAGTGCAACAGTAGATATACATATACATACATACATACATGCATACATACATACATACATATCTGAGCAGTGTTAGCCCAGAACAAGGCTCCAGACAGGAGAGAGCAATCAAAGGAAGTTTCCTTGGAGAAAGAAGAGGCCCTAAACCAGGCTGGAGCTGGGCGGTGGTGGCTCAAGCCTTTAATCCCACTTGGGAAGCAGAGGCAGGCAGATCTCTGAGTTCAAAGCCAGTCTGGTGTACAGAGTGAATTCCAAGGCTACACAGAGAAACCCTGTAGGACCAGAGTAGTGGGCACAAAAGGAAAACTCATGGGGAAGAGGAGGGAGGGCCAGGAAGGGGTGGAGCTTGGAGGTCCCATGGAGGCAAACCCTGGTAGTCCAGGTACTCAGAGATCTATGCTGGGCCCCTGCAGCAGACAGACCATCGATGTCAAAGGGAGAAGGCCACCAGGATGCTATAAGCATGACAGAGGTAAGTGAAAGAGGCCTCCCCAGAGCAAATATGCGGATTGTCAGCTGACACAGGCACCCTTGTGAACTCATACTGTAGCCACTTGAACTCCACAAGATCCTTCTTAGGATCAATAACTAGTGACCATACCTAATTAGCTTATTTAACCCAAAGTGGCTTCCAGGCATTGGAGTAAAACGAAGTATGCCCTTCCCATTCAAGACGGCACAACAAAGCAGGCAGTCAATATCTCTCCGTGGCTATCAGTACACAACAGATGATTAGTAAATGCCCACTGCTAGGCCTGGCATGGTGGTACATTCCTTTCATCTCGGCACTTAGGAGGTAGAAGCAGGGAACTCTGGGAGTTCCGGGTCAGCCTAACCTATCAGTCCAGGTTATAACAGACCCTCTCTCAAAAACAAAAGCCATTATGCTCCCCTAGATCCAACAGTCCAGCTGAGATAAACTCAAAGTGAGAGGCGAACCATGAGTCTTGAAGATTCACCAAGAAGTCATGTGGCCTTCAAGGAATGGAGGACAACAGAGGCCAATGAGCTGGACATGTTCTGGCACATTGCAAGCAGGGAGAAAGGAAATTCTCTCTCATGTCTTGCCAAATGGTCCTGCTGACTCCCCATAAAGGATGCAGATGTCCAGGGAAACCAGGCATGCTCCTACTATCACCCCCAGAAAGCCCACACACAGGCCCCAGGGAAAGCCCAAAGAAATCAGCGAGGCTGCAGGTCAGCTGAGGGTAGACTTGAAATCACCATTTCTTTAGGAAGATGTACATACACAGCTAGTAATGCCATTTACTGTCTGGGTGACCTGGGGCACATCTGTGGACCTCTCTAAATTTTCACAGTTGTCTACAGATCAGAGGTGGCACAAACTCTACAAATTGTGCCTAGCCCCAGGCAGCCCAGGAAAGGGTAGCTGTGATTCCTTCTGGGCCCAGCAACCACACACCAAGATAACAGCTTCTCCCCACATATCAGAAATGTGAGCTTCCCTTTAGCAAAGGGCAAGTAGGCAGAGAGAAGTCTCTCCCTAGACCCTGCACAGCCAGCCCTAGCAACAACTCTTGTCTCTTTCCTTCTGAGTATACACATAGGGCCATGAAGTCAAGCTTGACCCAGTACTGTGAGAGTTCAGAGAGCACCTGCAGTGTAGAGATCATGGGCAAACCAGTCTTCACAAGTGAGAAGAGAGCATCAACCCGGAGTTGGTCTCAGTACAGCAGTTGATGGCACCTAGAAACTTCCAACATAGGTGTTGAACCTGAGGCCCGCCCCAGCCCGCATCCTTCATCCCATCCAACCCAAATCACAGGAACCAGCCACTACAGTCAGACACAGCCCCTCCCAATCTCCCTGCCAATTAGCCTCACTCCCCTAACGCCGCCCCCTGGCTCAAGCCTCCAGGCCCATCAGCAAGCAGAACCTGTCAGATGCAAGCCAGCCTTGGTCTCTAGCAGTCCAGCAACAGCCCAGGAGAGAGAGGGGAGTCAAGACCCAGCTGTGTGCAGGAGCTGCCCCCTTTGCTTCCTCTGGTCATGAAAGGAGCTAAGAACTCCACAGCCTCCCAGCCCCAACGTGGGGGAGGGGGGCTCACACTTTGTTAAAAGTCTCTACAGCAACCCTTGAAGCTCGCCACTTGGGCACAGTTACTCAGACCTTTCAGGGCTCTAGCCGCAAGTGAAGCCGAGGGCTCCCTCTCTGACTCTCCGGGTTGCTGGGGTGTTACCATCAAGTAAGAGGACAACCCCTCTCTTTTCCCTTCTGAGGCTCTCCTTTGTCAAAAGGGAAATAGCTGGCCCCATCTCTTCGGAAAGGCAGGCAGGCACCGCCAAAGGGCAGAAGATTGGGGAGGGGGGTTGGAACCCGCCAGAATATTTAGGATCAGTGACGCTCACAGACCCCCACCCTGCGTTTCCCGAGGTCCCGGTAGTGAATACCCAGCGTCCACTTGGAGTTGCGAAGTGGGCGGGTCGCGCCAGGACAGCACTGGCTGAACCAGGATCCCTTTAAAGAGCGATCGGGCGGGGAATCCGGGACCCCCGGTAGGCGGGCCAGAAGCCTTGAATCAGCTTAACTCTCGGCCAAGTTCCCTTCAAGGGGCCAAGAAAAGCAGTTTTGGCCAGCGAAGCGGACATGTTCCTGCCCTGCCCTGCCCTGCGGCCACACGCGTGCCTCAGCGTCCACAAAGGCCACACTAGAGCGACGGCCGAAGTAGGGGCGGTGAGGAGACGAAGGGAACTCCCTCCCAGAGGCCCTCCAGGAAGGCCCCGAGGCAGTTCACCCCGGGCTGGGGGTCCAGGAGGAGGCGCAAGCCGGAGAGGGGGCGGCGCCCGGCCCTCCCGCTCCCTTTGGCCCGCGCACCCCGCCCGACCCAGCCCCTCCGCCGCGCCCTGAGCCAGCACAGCCACCGCTCCAGCTCATCCTCCACCGGTTCCGGCCGCCAGCCGCGCAGCTCGAGGATGCGGCCTCAGCGTGGCACGCACCAGGCTGCAAGGGACACTCGGGGACCCCGGCCTGGGCGAGAGACTGCAATGCTGGGCGCCACGCCGAGGCTGGAGTCGCCCTCCACGAGGCAGCGCAGACCCGGGAGCCGGCGCACACAAACGGTCCCCGTGGCGGTGGTGGAGCGCCCTAGGCTTGGGAGACTTTGGTCAACTTCGCGTCTTCAGGGACCACCGCTCGCCAGAGCGAGAAACGGAGATAGGGACGTGTCCCCGTCTCTCCTGGCCCTTGAGCCAGCCGCTCGGACTTGGGCGCCAGGGCCTCCCGTGGCCGCCACCTCGGCGCTCCAGCTACCTTGTCCCGCAGCGCACACGCCTGGACCCTCACCTGGGACATCTGCGGCCGGAAGTTGATGTCCTTCAGGTCTATGGAGCCGGGGGAGAGATTGTGCAGCAGCTGGCATAGCAGGACTCCGTCGCGCAGCGCCTGCGCCAGGTCGAAGACCACCGCCGAGGGCCACACGACACGATGGTTGGGCGGCAGGACCTTGCAGTCGATGAGCCAGCGGCCGCATTGCCGCCACTGCTCCATGGCGCCCGCGGCGCCCGTGCGCTCGCCGCCGCCGCCGCAGGACCAGCTCGTTCAGGGCAACGCTCTGGCCAAAGTGCGGTGACCGCGGGGCATCCCGCCCGCCCGCGCCGGGCTAGGCGGCCGGGGCGGGGCTTCGCGCAGGCCGCCCCGGGTCCCCGCTGCGCGGCCGCGCGGCCCTCCTCTTCCTCCTCCTCCTTCTTGGGCTACTAGCGGGCAGCCGCTCCCGCCCACGTGCGGCCACCAGGCGCTCGCGGGGCAGCGCGCCGGGTACCCCCTTCACACACACAAGTCCGCTTGGGCTCCGGCCCCAGCTCCACGCCTCCTGCTGCCGCAGCGCTCCTCAATCCGCCCCTCCGGGCGCCGCATTCTGCGCTCGGGGCGCCCCGCGCCGGCCGCCGCTCCTGCCCCGCCCGAGACAAAGGCGCAGCGGGTCGCTTGCTCCGTGCGTCCGGCGCCTGGGCTGCCCGCGTCGCCGTCGCTTTGTTCGCCCGGCCCGCGGGCTCTGCGTTCCTCGCGGGGCGCTGGGACTCTGATGCTCCTCCGCTCCCGGGCGCTGGGGGTGCGGGGGGCGCGGCCACGACAGGGCGGGGCCGGGGGCGGAGCTGGCACCCTAGTCCGGCACCGCCCCCGCGGCCCAAGCACCGCCTCCAACCCGCCCTCCCACTTCCTGCCCCGGGGCTGCCAGCGAAAGTTGAGGAGGGCGGGGCTGTAGCTCTGGCTCTGGGCGGGCGACTTTCCCTTAGGTGCACGTGGACCCAGGCCGGCTGTCTCTCCTGCAGAGTGTGAAGCCACTGCACCTCGGTGGAGACTAGAAGGTGACACCTGTAACGCGGGGCACTCTTGCATGGCCCTCTGCAAAGACAAGACAGACCCGGGCATGCCTATCCGGCTGGGCTACACATTCATGCCCCTATGGCTCCATCAATCTGGTTCGTGGGCTCAGGTCTTTCAGAGTTCCCTTCCAGTCCTCTGTCCTTGCCAAGATCCGCAGGACACCCCGCCCCCCGAAGAGGGAGAGAGAGAAAAATCCTTCACCTAGGGTCACAGGCAAGCCCGTAGATTCCCTGGTGAGAGGGGCTGGAGAGATCGACAGTGTAATGTCCTGAGCACCTTGTGACAGTGGAAGGGACTTCAAAAGCATAGATAGCTGATTTTGCAATTGAAATTACTTTGCTCTGGACTCATCTATCAGGAGCCGTGGGTTCTTGGTAAAGGGAACCCCACAAAGCCAAGCCTTCTCTGAGACGGGTGTCATGGAAGGCAGCTGGGATAAAGGGGAGTGACCAGTCCACAAGAGCCTCCTGACTCGATCTTTTGTGGGCTAGGCATCATTGTGTCAGCCCCTGCGTCTCCCTCAGTTACCCGGCCCAGGGCAGGAGGACAAACCCCCCCATCTTGATGCACACACAAAGCCTGTCACCTGCAACCAGGGAAGGCCTTCCTAGAATAGCGTCTGCAGGATGTCAGTTTACCCCTTCCCCACCTAAGGAGGAAGCATGAAACCTAATCCTAGAGGTCAAGAGAGGAGACAGATGAAGCCAGGCTGAACAACAGGTAAGCCTGCAACTCCTGCCGAGGTACTACTTCACCTCTGAATAGTCTCAGCCAAAGCCCAGGCCACAGGCAGACAGACCTAAGAGTCATTCAATACCCTACACCACAGGGGAAAAAAAGAAGAAAGAAAGAAAGAAAGAAAGAAAGAAAGAAAGAAAGAAAGAAAGAAAGAAAGAAAGAAAGGCATTGCAAAGCTGAAAACAGAGCACCCTGCTAATCCCGCTCCACTCATACCTGGGTGTCTGCATCCAGGGAGCTCTTTTACGAAAAAGAGGCCTCTGCACTCCATGCCCTCAACCTTCCAGCCTCATTAGGAAGCTAACCATGACCAGACTAGGTCTGGGACATAGACTAATCTGACATCAGTCAGGCGTTCATCTGCTGCCCCCTGGTGGTCTTGAGGGCAGTGGCAGCTGACATCCCAGATGCCCCAGGAGAGGGAACTGTAGTACAGATCGGAGTTAGCCTGTCTTCCAAATCAGAAGATCTAGGCCTCTTAGCACCGGTGGCCCTGCACCAATCGTGTCTGTCTCTCTGGTACCCACCTCCTTATCTGAATAGTGAGGACATTCAGTTGTCCTATATACGTGGTGGGGACCTTGGGAAACTGCAGAGAAATAATAGGGATGAATGAAGAAAAAAACTGAGTGGAAAGTATTCCAGATGTCTGCTGTGTGTGCGTAGGTCGGATTGCATGGGCTCAAGCAAACAAGCAGAGTACTGATAAATGGGATACTTTCACTTCAACATTCTTCCCCACCCATTCTCTCAGCCCCAGCACTGATCGCCAGGACTGCCCTCTGAACATGTCCAGGAAGCAAGAGTACCTCCCTACTTTGGAGATGAGCTCCACTGAAAGCCACTTATGCTGAATACCAGTGATCAGCTCTGAGGTAGGGGCTACTAACCCTAGCCGCATACCCAGAAAGTAGAAGGGGGCCGTGGACTGATCGTGTAAGAGGTTGCAGAGAAGGATGGACCTGGAAAGGGGCAGCAAGGCTTCTGGGAGTTAACGGTCCATGAAAGGCATGCTTTTGGAGGACAGAAGCTGGCAGGAAGGCACGGGTGCAGAGACCTAGGGCCTGGAGCAGCAGAGCCTGGCCCAGAGTCTGTTCTAAGTCACTGAACTGTACATCTTTTGTCTTCCTTGTTATCAGCTGGTCCACTACAGCAGCATCCCTGATGGACTCCAGTGTTAATTCTCGCATGTCTGATCTGCCAGCAAGTCCGAGAACCCCATTCGCATTCTGAGCACTCCTAGCTCCACCATCGCCAAGGTTCCTCAGCAGCCTGCTTCTACCTCAGCCTTCAGTCTGCTCTTCACAGCCAGCAAAGACCTAGCCGAACCTAGATGCAACCCTGTCGCTCTCCCACCCCCAAAGCAAGCCGTTTGTGGAACTCAGCTCCTAGCAGGTAACTTAGGCCTGGGGTTCTTTGAAAGAACACTGTTTGGCATGCATGAGGCTCCAGGCTCCATTTCTAGCCCTTAAAGCAGCAGTTCTCTACCTGTGGGTCATGATCTCTTGGGTAGTCAAAAGACCCTTTCGCAAGAGTCTCCTAAGACCATCAGAGAATACAGATATTTACATTGCTGTTCATAACAGCAAAATTACAGTTATGAAGTAGCAACAAAAGTAATGTTATGGTTGGGGGTCACCACAACCCAAGGAACTGTATTAAAGGATGGCAGCATTAGAAAGGTTGAGAACCACTGCCTTAAAGGAAATGAAAAAATAAAGAATGACAGAATCTCCCCAAGCAAACCTCCTTTGGCACAGCTTCCTTCCCTGGCTGCATATTCTATGCCCCTCCTCTATGCCCTTCCATCAAAGAGGGACATGACCAAGGTCTGGCTAGTAGAGAAGGGATTTGAACCAGGATCTCAACATGGAGTCAGTTTTCTCTAGTGCTCCCAGCATAGCTGTTTGCGTTTACTCTAGGCTGACCTTCAACACAAGAGAAGTCATGGAACTCAGTCTGTCTCTGCCCTCCCAGGATTCTGCAGTGGGTGCCCCTCATACGCTCAGACACTGCTCACTGGGTAGTCCAGGGTCAGTGTTTGACTAGAACTCAAGTGCCTCTAAGCACACATTGCTTTGCATGACACCTGCCTCAGTGGAAGGAAGCTTCTACAGACACTGGAACATCCAAGGAACTGGACCTCCACAGCCAGTCCAGCCATAGTTCTCAGCCCATGCTTCCCCAACAAAGACTCAGACACACTGCCCGGTCTCCATACCTTTCATCAAAAAGACCACCACCGACAGGCTCTTCCCTACCACCAAGTTTCCCATCCAAAGGAATACCACCATTGGCCTCCCTTTTTTCTACCACCTGACCTTCCATTGGCTTCCCTCCAGCTCTGGACCCTCTTTTTACATCTCTTTCCTGCTCCTTTCTTTGGGGGGGGTTTCGAGACAGGGTTTCTCTGTGGCTTTGGAGGCTGTCCTGGAACTCACTCTGTAGACCAGGCTGGCCTCGAACTCACAGAGATCCACCTGCCTCTGCCTCCCAAGTGCTGGGATTAAAGGCGTGCGCCACCAACGCCTGGCCCTCTTTCCTGCTCCTTGAACTCAGCCACCCAGCCCTCTGTCCAGTACACTTTAATCTACTTAGCCCTTCATTCCTCCGCCCAGCCCTCCCATGATCCTCTGCCCATTTCCTTTCTTTTCTTTTTTATTCTTCAAGACAGGGTTTCTCTGTGTAGCTTTGTAGACCAGACTGGCCTCGAACTCACATAGATCTACCTGCCTCTGCCTCCCGAGTGCTGGAATTAGAGGCATGCACCACCATGGCCCAGCTACTGCCCATTACTCTTACATGGATCAAGCCAGCCTCCCACTGTCCATCATTATCTGCCCCACTCCTATCAACCCGCCTATACCTGCATCTACCCACCCACCACACCCATATCCCTCCAATAGACAATACTAATTCAGTGCTGGCTTTCTAACTCAGTGCTGGCTTTGTTCCCGGAGAAGGGGAAGTGGATGTTTTGACCGGGTGAGGGGTTTATTCTCACATCCAACCCACATGAACACACATTTTTGCGAATTCCGTTTGGAGCTCCATCAGGCAAATTCAGCTGTCACAATTTCCCAGGAAATTATAGGTGTAGGAAAAGACCATCTGGCCAGCCATGGAGATGGAGCACGCCTTGCTGGATGGTGGGTGTGGGCCTTCCGCATATTTCCTTTGAAAAGGCAAAATGTAGACTATTACTGATAGTTGCTTCAATTTCAAAATGAAGCCAAATGCCACAGTCTAGGGATTGACCCCTACACTGAGGTCTCTGAAATCTTGCTGTTGACACAGCCACAGCTTGGACACCAGCCAGTGACTATGCAAAACATAAAGACGGCTCCCCGGGCCTGTCTTGAAGCTGTAGTTGCAGGCGGAGTTTAAGTAGCTCCTGGAAAGACCCTGTGTTTCAGGGCAGGTGAGCATAGTCTTAAGAGAGTACAGAGTCCAGACACAGGTCAGCTGTCCATAAGAGACTGAGAGGCAGCACTGGGGGAGGGGACGCTGCTTTCCACAGGGGCCCTCACCACAGAGCCGCAAGCCACCTGGATGCTAAATAGATGGAGAGGGTCCAGTCAGAGAAAGCCAAGCTTCATTTGGCTGCATGTGAATAATGGACGTGGCCTGGCGGGTGTTGGGGGGTGATGCCAGAGTCCCCACAGGACGAAGCATGTTCTGGGTCTCAGTTGACCACACACTGACTTCTAGAAGTGCTGGGTCTTAGTAGAACAAGTTGGTACCCACAGTGTGAGTCACACAGACAGGGAAAACCTGACTGTGCTTCCCCCCGACCCTCACCAGAGCCAGAAACTCTCCTTCAACTCCAGAGGAGGTATCCCTCTCCGGGGTCCTTCCGACTGTCCTCCAGACATACCACCTTGAAGTCAGTATAGCCGAGGGAATGTGCAGACCACACCTGCTCCAACACCTCCCTGATAGGACACAACACAAATGTCCCAACCCTGAAGCATTTGTCACCCAACTGTAACCCCCAGCAGCTCTGGCAACCCACCCTCAGCTCCGGCAACCACTTTTTAATCTGCTTTGAGTGTATCTACCAAGGACGCTTTGTGTCATTGGAATCGCACTGATCATGACCTTTCAAGCCTGGCTTTTCCTCCTTGACTATGCCTGAGGTTCCCTCGTGTTCTTTGCTTAGCGAGGTCTGTATCCCTTTCTATGGTCGACCAGTAAGTAATTCATTGTGAGCAGAATCAGTCTTAATGAGACACTGTTTAATGCGACATGTCTGAGGCATTGTCATTTTGATACCTGATCAACATTAAAACTTACTAACGAGCCCTTTTTACATCCTTTTCTTTTCTTCAAAATATAGGGTATGCCTTACACATACAGCACATTTCCATCTAAACCTTAAGTCCCCTTCAGAAGCATTTCATCTAAGTATATTTAGGTTCCATAAATCTCACAGTTGAAAAAGATTTTCATGCTCAAGCTGTTTCAAATACATTTAAAAGTTTGCCAAAAATAGAATTTAGTATCAATGTCTAAATTAATTAAACCGAACAGAGAGCTGACTGGAGTCTGGGAAATGTGTGTCTTCTCAGGCCCAAACAGCCAACCGTCGGGCCTGACAGAACCTCTTACTTTGTTCCTTAAATGGAGGCCCTGTGATGTCCACCTGGCTGTGGAGCCACCTATACCCTGTTCTCCAAGCACCCAGCACCATGCCTGGCATGAATTCATGGCCACACTCACCCACCGACCCATTCACTCATCCACTCACACATCCTGTCTACCTGCTCACCCACCCATCCCACACGCATACCTACCTAGCTGCTACGCACCTACATACCCACCTATCATCCATCACCTCCCCACTGGTCTGTCACTACCCACCCACCCATCCCCTTGTCTACCCACCACTCACACGCCGACTGTCCAGGTTGGGTTTTGATTTTTGTTTTGTTGCCTTGACATAAGCTAGAGTTATCTGAGAAGATGGAGCCTCGGTTTAGAAAATTTCTCTACCACGTTAGCCTGTGGGGCCATTTTCTTCATTAATGATTGATGTCAGCAAGGCCAGCCTACGAGGGGGATATGCCTCCCCTGGGCAGGGAGTTCTGGATTGTGTAAGAAAGCAGGCTGAGCAATTTATTAGGAGCAAGTAACTCAGCTTACTAGCTGAATTCCTTCATGGCCTCTGCTTCAGTTCCTGTCTCCAGGTTCCTGGCCTGACTTTCCCTCAAAGACAGAGAATAACCTCAAAGTTGTGTAAGCTGAAATAATCAACCCCCCCAAGTTGATTTTGGCCATGTATTTTATCGTAGCAAGAGAAATCCTGACTAAGACATCTATCTATCCATCTATCTACCTGTCCACCCGCTCATTCCTTATCCATCTACCTACTCACCCGCTCATTCCTCCATCCATCTATCTACCCATCCAGAAAATACTTCACTGTACCACACACACACATACAAGACTTGAAGAAACACAGGGTGACAAGGTAACAGCTTATGATTGTCAAAATCAAAGAGGAAGCATCAGATGTTCAGGGACAGAAGAAGCTGCCCCTCCTGGCCTCTTGCATCCTGGATGGTCTCAGCAGGGCTCAACCCTGCAGATATCTTACACCTCCTCTTTGCCCTGCCTCACTCGCCATCTGATGCAACATGACAAATACCCCTAGCCTAACAACTACCCCTGCTGATTGAATCACACAGGGCTACCAGCTCAATTGGTTCTACAAGAGGGGCCAGCCAGGGCTAGCATAAGTTCCTTGACTCCTGCCTGGGGAAGCATAAAAGTCTGATAACAGCTTCTGCTGGGCCAAGGGACAGAGCTCTGGCAAAAGTGCTATCCCAGATCTCTTTATAATAAGAATAAGAACTGAATCTGGGCATTGTGACTCATGGCTTCCTTTAATCCCAGCATTTGGGACTGAGAGGCAGGCAGATCTCTGTGAGTTCAAAGTCAGCCTGGTCTACATAGTGAGTTACAGGACAGCCAGAAACTGACTCTGTCGAAAATAAATAAATAAATAAATAAATAAATAAATAAATAAATAAATGCCTGAGTCAGAATAGAAGAGGCCCAAAGGGATAGCCTAAGGCATGAACCCCTTAAGAGGACCCCAGAGGCTTACCCTCCCTAGCTTAAACTTGGGGCCACTCATAGGTGGGCCAGACTATGACTAGGGTTCCCCTATCCCTCTACGCTCTTGGGCAAGCCATCGTTCTCCACCGTAAGTGTCCTATAAGGGGTGAGGGTCCTTCATCCAGATTGAGGCAAGAAGGTAGGTGGGGGCACCGGGGGTCTGGGGAGGAGGCAGCTATTGTTACTACTTTCCCAGCAACAGAGGCATGAGATGCGTATATGTCAGGATGGCGTGGTGGCTGTGGCATTTCCAATGAATGGCAGGGTAACATTAGCAGTGGAAGTGAATGACTGCTTGAGGAGCAGGTGCCACAGGACGAAGGCAGAGGTCCATCAGTGATCTGAGGGACAGGACGTACTGAGGGCTCCATTGTTGGGACGGTGAAGGTGCTTGCTCCCACAGACCTCCAGAGAAACCAGGAATGTTAAGCATTCAGAATTGCCTTTCCACTGCGAAAGATGTAAAACCTGTTCTTCCACCCAGAACGCCTGGAACTGGAAGTGATTAATAGCCTGGTGATCTGCATTATCTATTGGGCCAGGCCATAACAAGCTCCTATAAGTAGGACCAGAGATGGCAAGTAATCTAGATGACCCTCACAGCCAGGGGCTCTCCAAGCTCCCACCACCAGGACAGGAGATGATACCTAGTAGTCTAAATAACCCTTATATTTATGTGTATAGCCAGAGGCTCCCCCAAGCTCTCATAACCAGGACAAGAGGTTGCTAATAACCCAAATGACCTCTACACTATCTGTATGACTGACACCAGGCCAGACCCTTCCTTAAGCCCTTAAGTTAGTACTTGAAGATAGCCTATCTCCAGAACCCATCTTCTTGGAAGAATGGCATGCACCCTGAGTCAAGTTTCAATGTAATGACACTTCCTTGTGCACCATGGGTTGTATTACATCAGGAAACATCTTTCCAAATTGTACTGCATTTTAAATATGCTGACAGTGAACCCCCTGGCATCAGGCTTCCCAAAGTCTTGATCCAAGTTTTCATGCTTACTTCCCTGCTGTGACCCCTTGCAGTGTCCCACTCCCTCCGGGACTGTGAGTTCTCCAACACTGCTCATCTTATGGGCTAAGGCTGGGCACCTACCTAATCCCTGATCCAGTAAAGCCTGGGGACAGAGGTGAAAAGAAGTCTCGTCAGTTAAGAGAACTGGCCTCTCTTCCAGAGAGATTGCCAGCACCTACACAATGGCTCACAACCATCTGTAACTCAAGTCCCGGGGATCCCACATCCTTTCCTGGCCTCTGAGGGCACCAGGCATGCATGTGACACGCTGACATACATGCAGGGAAAACATCCACACACATACAAATAAATAATGTTTTTATATGTTGGGACCAACAGCGGCAGTTTCTCCTCCCTGATAAAGTCTGGCACAGTCAGACAAGGAGGCCTCCCAGAGGCCACCTCAGGCTGGCAGACAGCACCCTTGGGTAGTAAGTTGTGCCTAGAACAAATATTTAGGAATGGTAGTCTTTAGTCTCTCTGGATGACTGTTTTAAAAATCCCACTGGGGCTGTGAGTGCTCAGACACAGATGGATCATCTGTATCAACCTCCCCTCACTCAAGGCTCAGGGAACAGCACACATGAAAAGAGTGGGCAAAAGGCATGTAAGAGCTGGAGGAGAACTGTGAGGTGTCTTCTAGACACGACCCACTGTTACACACAGCAACTCACAGAAGCTGTTGTTGCCTGCACAAGACCTGCGGGAGATCAAGCCAGTCAAAATTCCAGCATGGTGGTGGCACATGCCTGTGAGTTCTAGAATAGCCAGAGCTATACAGAGAAATCCTGTCTCAAAAAATAAGCAAGCAAACAAACAATAAACAAACAAATCCCAGCATGGATGAGGGAGGGACTCCTGAGCTCCCACTCCTATTGGCAGCTGATGGCTTCTAAAGAGACAGTCACTTTCCTTTGGGGATAAGGGCACTCACTGGTAGGTTGTCCATGCCCCAGTGGATAATCCCCCATCAATGTGCATAGGCAGCATTAATTAGAATCAGTGGGCTAGGGGGCTGGAGATATGGCTCAGAACAAAAAATAAATAACAACAAAAATAACAATAACAACAAAAATAATGAAAGGATGGGAAGTCAAGAGGGAGACAGGTTGGATGGTCCTAGGAAGAGTTGGAGGGAGCTAGTAGGGGTTTGATAAGATCAAAAAATACTGTATACATGCATTCAAGTTTCAAAAACTGAATACAGAATATTACTTTGGGTTAACTGTTGTGGGTCAGCACTTGCTCTGTGTACACAACACACTAGGTTTGCCAGGTCTGGTGGTACAGGCCTAAAATTCTATCTGCTCAAGAAGCTGAGGCAGGAGGATCATAAATTAGGGCCTTCTTGAACTACATAGTGAGTTTTAAGCCAGCTAGTGATATACATGGAGAACTTTTCAAAATAAATGAGTGAAGAAATAAATTCCATGCTGTAGCCAAAACCATTGAATACTTTTTTTTTTTAAATCACTCTGGGTTCCAACTCCTGGGTGACCATAGGGGACAATCTGATTAGTCAGTGTTTAATTAATGTTGCCCTTTGACCTGTTCCCTAAGACAAGCTATATCCAGAGCTTTCAGCCACACTTGCCCAGATAACCAATCCTAAACTCCCCCATTCTTTTTTCTATACCAATTTCCATGTTAGGTTTTATAGCAGGGTAAGTGGAATGTACCCCCCCAAAGACATGTGCATATGAAATTCCTGAAGCCCAAGAATGGAATCTGATTTTGATGATGAGATCATTTTAAATTGTCTTCATGGCCTCTCAATCCAGTGTTGTATCCTTAGAGACTTAGTAACCCAGGGGAGAGAACGTGTGCGGTGACACAAAGAAGAAAAATGGCCATGTGGTCACTGAGGCAGACACAGGTGTGACTCAGTCACAAGCTAAGAATGGATGAAGACAGAGGGCAGTCACAAGCAGCTAGGAGATGTTACAGACACCTTTCCCCCAGAGCTCTGGCAGTAAGAGTGACCTTGTCCACATTTGTGTGGGGGGGGGGTTCTGGAGACAGGGTTTCTCTGTGTAACCCTGGCTGTCCTGGAACTCCATCTGCAGACCAGGCTTAGCCTCAAACTCACAGAGACCTGTCTGCTCTGCCTCCCGAGTGCTGGGATTAGAGATGTGTGCTTTTTTTGGAGGCAGAATCTCATGTAACCCAGGCTGGCCTCAACCTCACTACGTACCAAAGATGAGCTTGAGCATCTGATTCTTCTGCCTCCACCTCCAGAACACGGAGATCACAGGCTGGCACCGCCACATTCAGCTTTGTTTTATGAAGCACTAGGGCTCTAACCTGGGTTATGTGCATGCTAGACACACACCCTATCGACTGAATTACATCCCCAGCGCCCATCCACAAGACAAATTCAGACACCACACTTCCGGAACTGAGAGCAAATGCAGTTCTGTCAGTTCAGATTCCTAGGCATGGGGGGCTTTACTGACAACACTGCCACTGCCACCCTGGGAAGCCACAGAGCAGCTACTGAAGTTCCTGCTTCCGTGGTCAGGAAGGACCATCAGTGACGAGTCTCATCAGTCGCAGCATGAGACCCCAGGCATGGAAACACGCAGGAACTGGCAGCACCAAGGGCCAACAGCCATAGATCAAGGAAAATCTTCTTGTAGAGCCAGGATGAGTCACACCACCCCTCAGGGGCCTGCCCTCAGAATCAGGTATTGTCACTTGTTGGCCACTTCTACCTGCAATCTCAGCACCCTAGAAGTGAAGGCAGGAGAATCATTAAGAACTCTGAGGAGGGCCGGGCGGTGGTGGCGCATGCCTTTAATCCCAGCACTCAGGAGGCAGAGGTAGGTGGATCTCTGTGAGTTCGAGGCCAGCCTGGTCTACAGAGCGAGTGCCAGGACAGCCTCCAAAATAATACAGAGAAACCCTATCTCGAAAAAACAAAAACAAAACAAAACAACCAAAAACTCTGAGGAGGGACAGGCAATGGTGGCGCACGCCTTTAATCCCAGCACTCGGGAGGGAGAGGCAGGTGGATCTCTGTGAGTTCGAGGCCAGCCTGGTCTACAGAGTGAGTTCCAGGACAGCCAGGACTGTTACACAGAGAAACCCTGTCTCAAAATACAAGCAAACAAACAAAAGGAATTAGTATTCTGCAAGTTGGTTCTGCTTTGGGGGTGTTCATATTCTTTTTTCCTTTCCTTCTTTGTTTCTTTCTTTGTTTGTTTGTTTCTTTCTTTCTCTGTTTTGAGAGGAGATCTTGCTATGTATCCTTGGATTGGCCTGAAACGCTACCTAGACTAAGCATCCCACCCTACACCCTACCCACCACCTTCTGATGTCAATATTCTTAACTGGCATTGGAGTAAACTGTGAAGATAACTTTATGAAGGAAAACCATGAGTATGGGGTCAAAGTATATTGCTGGGGTCTACCTGGAAGAGTGCAGAGGTGAGTGCAGTGTACATGGGGGTTTTCTGGGGCTGTTAGGACAATTCAAATGAGCAGCATGTGGAGTGATGGAGTTTCACAGCTGCTTTTGAAACGATACATCCCACACAACAATGAATAAATTGAAAACAAATGTGCCCATTATTTGAGTGGGATATCGGTAGTAACGGCAACAGGTCTGACAAGGGAACTGAATAGAAGGAAATAAAATGAGCTGAGGACAAAGCTTCACTTGGAACCCTTGCCTAGCATGCCCAAGGCCATGGGTTCAATCTCCAGACCACAACACAATCACCCCAACCCAAACAAAGAGAAAAGCCGTGGGGGCTGGAGAGATGGCTGCTCTTCCAGAAGACACGGGTTCAATTCCCAACACCCGCATGGCAGCTCACAGCTGTCTGTAACTCACATACATGCAAGCAAAAGACCAATTCACATAAAACAATAATTAATTATTAAAAAAAAAAAAAAGGAAAACACCGTGACAGGATCCAGGACTGGGCAGGCGCCTTACTGCTAACTCCTGACTCCCTTCCTCAGCCATCTCCTCCAGGCCTTCTCACTGATCCCCAGAAGCTCCTCCCCCTCCAGGCTCCGCCTCAAACCCCGCCCCAAGTTCTTCTCCCCAGCTCCTAGGCTCCTACGCTGGCCCACCTAACCACCCACTCCGCATCCTGACTAGTCTGTGTCTCCCCTAGGCTCCTTTTCTCTTTTGGCTTCTCCTTTTGTCTATCACCGGCTCCATCAACTCCCGCAACGCCCCTTCCTCCTCGTCTCAGTCCTCGTCCTCTCCTCGCCAGTCTTCCTTCCTCCGGCTCCTTCCCTGCTCCTCCTTTCTATCATCCTGCCCCCTCCAGCTTCTCCGCATCTCCTAGTCTCCCCAACGCCCTTTTCTCAGGATCCTCCTCTCTCTCCACAACTCTTATTCTGGATTTTGTTCTCCTTGACATCTGCCACTTTCTCCAGCTCCTCCTCTTTCCCAGCTCCTCCTCTCTCCCCTCCCTCTAGATCCCTTTCTCAACCTCTTCTCTCCGCACAACCACCCACCTCTTCCGTTCCCTCTTCCAGCCCCTCCTCCCGCTCCAACCCTTCCCCTTCCCTTCCCCACTCCACTCGGCCGCTCCGCCTCTCTCTCTGTCTCAGGGTGGTCGGCCCGCCCCGCGGAGTGATCGATGGGTCCTCGGCGCTCGGCTCGCCACGTCTGCGACGCTGCCATGGAGACGTAGCCGCGGCCCCCTGGCCCCGCCCGGAACCTGGAGCACCTGCGTCACCCGGCCCACGCGTGTCCGCGAGCGCCGGCCACGGAGGAGGCTGCTCCGCTGGAGCGTCTGGACAGGGCCGGGCAAGCGATAGTTTTGCCAGAAGCAGGGGCGTGGGACTTGCATCCTTCCCTCCTCCCAGATACTCTGCTCCGTAGTTGAGGGACGCTTCTCTCACCAGCGGAGACCCGGGTACCACTTAACCATCCGTACGTTATGAAGGGACCTGCGATTGCCCACACACCTCACCCTTCCACCCAGCTCAGCTGGCCGCATCCGTGAGTAGCTTCACTGAACTCTAGCCCATCGAGGCAAAGCCCTTGTTGGGTCTGCTCCAGACACCTGACAGCTTCTTTTCTTTGCAGTGTCACCCTCGATAAGAGCGGAAGACCGACTAGGACCTGAACCAGATCCCAGCTGCGTTTTGAGTGGTGTGGACAAGTCAGCCCCTGCTGCAAACTGTGTACAATGCCCGTTCTCTTGGGACCCTGGATACATCTCTGAGCTCAGAAGTGTCGCAGAGGCAGTGAACACCTAACAGACCGCCCAGAGTGGTGTGGAGTCTCTATCAACACCGTTTGGACCACGGCGCCAATCTGACCCACTTTCTGTGTGGAATGGCTCTCACATGGCTCCTGAACCGGGCCAAGGGTGTCTCGGCTTCCCTTGCCCTCCTGAGATCTTGCCCATGAAAAGATCCGAGTTGTCCAAGGGCTCGTTAACCCAACAGTCATCGAAGCTCTTGGCCCACTAGTTAACAGAGCAAAGCAGCCAGCTCTTCCTGAAAGCCAAGTGTGCAGGAGCCTGGGGCCAGGGGATGAGCGGTCGGGTCCCACTGGCAGAGAAGGCCCTGTCGGAAAGCTATGCCCGCCTTCGGTACAGGGACACTTCCTTACTCATTTGGCAACAGCAGCAGCAGAAGCTGGAGTCTGTACCACCCAATACATACCTGAGCAGGAGCCGCAGCATGTGGTACTCCCAGTATGGAAATGAGGCCATCTTAGTCCGAGACAAAAACCAGCTTGGGGTCTCTAGGGACACCGGCCAGTCTAAGTTTTGCTCAATTATGTAATTCCAGGGAGGAAATCCTTGATGGCTGCAAAGATCGAGCTTTGGTATAAAAACTCAGCACCCAAGAATATCACCCAGCCCTTTATCAGTGGCACAGCTGGCACCCAGATGCTTCCAAATGAAAGGGAAGCTGGTGAGATGTCCCCAGCTCCTATGAGCTGCTTGTCCAGGGTAAAGAGGGGACTCTTCCTGGAGCGTCCCGTATCTCTCAGTTCACTGCATTGACAAGTGAAAAGGGGACAGAGCTGTAGTGGCCAACTGACCCATACATTATTACTACATTGCAGTAGCATCCACACTGGTCTTGTATATAGGTGTGGTGTGTCTTAAATGCTTACAGCAGAACCCTCCAATTTAAAGCCCCATCTAAGTTGCCTGAATTGATTCCAAGCCTAATCATGTGTGGGAAGGAGCATTCGCCCGACAGTGGTGCAATGGAACCTCCTTTCTATCAGACTGCAGCGGTATTCATTTAAGGTCTATCACATATTCTGCTTCAGTACACATGGTGTGGACAGCTGCAACGTACTTGCTCTGTGCAGTTAAGGTCTGTGTAGCTAGAGAGATTCCAGGATGTTTTGTTAAAGCTGAGCCTTCTAAATAAACGTCTTAAGACTCTTCCCTTTCTCATTTGTCTTGGAGTGTAAAACCTTACCTGGCTTTCTGAAATAACAGTAACGGCTAACGATGGATAAGAGCCCCAGTATAGAAAGCATAAAGCAGGCCCCTCCCTCAAGGCAGCCACTGTCAGAAGGCATGCCTGCCCTCTCGCTGTGTGCTCAGTCACAAGCTACACCAGTGGCATCACCCCCACTGTGCACCTTGCCCTACCCACTCCTCACCAGGCAACTTAGCTGGCACAGAGACGGCACCTGGCTTATAATCAACGCAAAGAGCACATCTCATGATGGCTGTGTTCACTATATTCATATCTCTTTGCAGATGTGCAAACTTGTACTACAGCCATCAGGACACAGGGCACTCCTCAAACACTTCATCCAGCCACAGACCTGGCTAGCTGGAGTGGAGGAGCCAGGTCCTTTGGCTCAGTCCCTGCTGCAGACCCAGGGCATGGGCTGGGCTTCTGTAGTATATTCCTGGACATTTAGAGGGGAAGCTCACTGTACAGTAAAGGTTGGTTGGCCTGATTAGGAAGGAGGCCTAGCACTTGGAAACTGTTCCAAGTTCATTAGTTTCTGTCAAGCTCAATTGAAGTCCTGCAAGCAAGCTTCTAACGTATCTGGAATTTCTGCCACCTGTTCACACCTTGTCCTAACCCAAGCCCTCATTAGATACAGCACTGACTTGGAGACAGGATATGAGGTCATAGAGTGTTGGGAGGGATAAGTACTTGTGGGCTAGTCGTCCTCAGGAGCCAGCAGGAGTGAGTGGCACACAGGCATCAGATCCCGTGTAGGACACCGGGAAGTCACTAAGCTGCTTAGACTACAGGAAGATGCCATCTGTGCTTAGGACACCAGGCCAGTGCTAAAAGAGACTAGTCTGATAAGGGCTAGTGGCAGCAAGAACCACAAAGTAGTCTGTTCCATTCTGGATGGGGTAGACATGTCATAGGACCCAACAAGAACATCTTGCCCAGGATTGATGGTTTGGCCATTTGGAAAACAACTTTTGGGTCCTTAGACCCTAAGGCCCAACTCCTCATTCATTCTTCAGTGTCTAAACCACTCCATAGCCTGTTCTTAGTGACTAGTATAGGGTTCTTTATGTATTCTCACCTACATTCCCACTGGGTTCACTACACCTGGAGGCCTGTGCCACAAATAACCCGGCAATACACTGCAGCAGGGAGGGGCTAGAATGGACATTAGGTGAGACTATCTGAGGAACCCGTGGTCCTCGGGGAGGCAGTCAATCCAAGTAAGAACTGCACAGGACTCCCTGTCTCCCAGCACCTGTCCTGCAAAAGGGTTCCCGCTCTTATTACTGTATAGTGGGCTGGCCTTAAAGAATTCACAGCACGCCGGGCAGTGGTGGTGCACACCTTTAATCCCAGCACTTGGGAGGCAGAGGCAGGTGGATCTCTGTGAGATGGAGGCCAGCCTGGTCTACAGAGCAGCTCCAAGACAGCCAGAGCTGTTACACAAAGAAACCCATCTTGAAAAAAACAAAACACAACAACAAAGTCACAGCAGTTCTGCTGCCTCGACCTCCCAACAGATTACAGGTATGTGCTACCACACTTAGCTCAAGAGTGTTTTTTAAAGTCCTTTTTGGATGTTCTATGTATTTCTACCAAGAGCTATAAGAGGTAAAGTATGAGGAGCTTGCCACGTGCCCTTAGGAAGAGGCATTGCAGCAAAGAGCACTACACAGACATTGCCTTTTTCCCCCTTCTTTTTATTATGAAAACAAAACAAACACCCCAGGAGAAAGGTTCATGATTACCAGAGACACCAGAGTACTTCCTACCGTTTTAACTCTGTGGTGTTGAGGCCGGCATTGCAAAAAACAAGCTAAAACTACTTACAATGGACTCATCTTCAGTAAACTGACATTTACAGGGATATACTAGAAACGGCACTGAAAAGTTTAAGAAAAGTTACGGTAAACTTGCATGCACATCATACAGAAAAGAAACATTTTAAATATATATATAAAAAAAGAAGAGCTTCTGGAAGTGTTATGCCAGTAACGGGGACAGTGATGAACAGGGTGACAAAGCTGTAACAGTGGGCTTGCATTTCCCAAATGACCATAAAAGGTGTGACAGCTGCAAAAGAACAAACCAAGAAGACCACACAAGAAAATGTCTCCAGTCTGTACGCAGGCTGAGTTACACAGCCTGAGGAGGTCTGAACCCCAAAGCCCGATCCTTGGCCTCCAACACTCTGCCAAGTGACCACCCCACCCCTGCATGTGACTCCCAAGAAGCCATGGACAGTTGTCCTCCACCTCTGTACAGGACTATCTAAGTCCCTGTAGCCTTTGTAACTAGAAAAAGGGAGTGGCAGTCACCCCGAAGCCTGGCATTGTGGGAACCAACACCCTCCAAAACTCTGGAGACAAAACAGTTTAAGTTTGGACAGAAAACTTAAAAAAAAAAAAAAAAGGTAAAAGCACCAATGACAGAAGCTGCTCAGTAGGGACCACAGTCGAGGAAATGCCAGACTCTCCATCCCGTGAAACCAGCTCTAGACCTCTGCCCCGCTTCTGGGATGCCACTCCAGGGCCCGACTCTGCTCGCCTAACAGCTCACAGAGGCACTCTATGCATGCCCTGCCACCGTGCCTTGTCTAGGCATGTTGGCTAGACTGTCATGGTAGGCCACCACTGAGACCCCACGTGAAGGCCTGTCAATTTCCTCCTGTTTATTTCTTACAGTCACAGCTTAAATATTCTATTAAAGATCTGTTTTAAAAAATACCTTTGAAAAACAAGGGTAACTTTAAAAAAATGGAACCTTAAAATCCACTTATATTTTTATTATAAACAAAACTGGCTTACAAGTTTAACAAACTGGCTGATAACTCAGCAGGCGTCTAGACATGGTAGCCAGTCAGCCACTTCCCGAGCTTGACACCCCGCTGCCTATCCACACGCACAAGGGCTGCTAGGGCTAACTTTAGGAATTTTAAACATCTCCCATGTAGGGATGTTGAGGGTGAGTCCTTCGCTCTGCCTAGAAGCAATGGAAGAAATCGCAGGGTCCCCACCACAAGGCTCTGCACTTGGCGCTCTGAAGTGGGGGTCAGGACAGTTAGTTTCCTAGGTTAACTGGGAATTCTTGAACAGGGACCCCTGGATCGTCAGGTTCACCCGTGCCCCTGTCAGGTCAGGGAGAGCGTCTGCAGGCTGAAGAGGAGGTACGCACAGGCCTGGGAGACTGGCCTGTGTCTTCCTGGCTGAGGCCACAATGCTCAGAGCTAATCCAGGCTGACCCTGAATTCCAAAACCATTTGGCAGCCTCAAAAACAACAAACTGATGAGAACTTTCTGTTAAACTCTGTATATTATTACTTTTTTACAATAGAAAATTAAATGTCAAGACCTTGGCCTGATATACATCACTTTTCTCTCCGCTTACAAAGCTTGTGTTGAAGAACCGAGGTTCCCTCCGTTGATGTTAGTAACTCAACAAACATAAAATGAGGATGTGCTGCAGCCGAAGGCTGTCTACACTTGTAAAGTCCCCAAATTTCATTAAAAAAAAAAAAAAGAAAGAAAGAAAGCCAACAGCCCAGACGTGAAGAGCACCAGAGGGGCACGCCGCCACAGGACCAGTCTTCTGACCGTGGTCGTCTGCTTGTCGCCAGAGACCTGCATCTCCACTCTTCTTAATGCACTTGCTTACGCTTTTTCTTTTCTCTTTTTTTAAAAATGACCAATGATGTTAATAAATAAAGTATTTATATATACATAAAGCCGGGGAGGTGGTTCAGAGTGTGAGACGGCAGCCAGGCAGCACGCTGGGCTGGACTTCTGTAGAAAATGGATGAACTTACAAAAGTTTTTGTTTTGTTTTTGCTTTTGTTTTTTTTAATTTTTGTTTTTTGTTTTTATTCCCTTAAGTTGAGGTAAAGTTTCGGTGTCCCGAAACCTGCACGCTGCACACACAGCCATAGGGTCAGAGAACTCAGCACCCCTCTTCCTCCACGCCCAACCCAGAGGTGGGAGGCTCTGGCCTGCAGCTATGAGGACCCTCTGCTGGGGCCCAGCCTGGTTTCCGTGGGCTGACACATCTGTCCTCAGCCCCTGCAGACAGAAGTAACCTGCTGGTTAGTGTTCTAACAGCTCTCAAACACAGAACCCATTCCAGAGCAATTGAAAAGCTTCCTTCAAGTTACTAAGGGCAAGGCTGGGCCCCAAGAGGTACTGGGCAGATCCAGCCACGCCTCCCGCCGCTGTGTCTATGGTTATCAGGTCAGCATCCCAGGCCGCGGTCTCCAAACAACTAAACTGAGCTGCAAAGGCATTTCCTGCAGAGCTTGGCCCTCTCTTGGGGTCTGGTGCACGTGCCAGGCTCTCCGCCCTACCGGAGCACAGCTGGAAGAGAGTCATAACACTGAAGTAAAAGAAAACCTGCACACCATGGAACGAAAGTATATTAACCATAGGAGGGGACACTGCAGTCGGCGTGTGCCACGTCCGTTTGTCCAGCTGTTACAGTCCAATTTCACTCTGAGTCACTGCTGTCGGAGCTGGACCCACTGGAGCTGCTGCTTGCAGACTCAGAGGAGCTGCTACTGCTGAGCCTTGATGGGCCTCCCGAGGGCGCTGAGCTGGACTTCTCTGCAGGGACACAAGGGAGGCCCTTGCTGAGCAGTGTGTGTCATCAAAAGTGTCCATGCCACCACCCCGTCACGGGTTATCTGTGACTTGACCCAGAGGTACAATAAACATTTAAAGGATGCCCATAAAATAGTATTCAGTGGCCACATGGCCACACTAGGACACATTCATGGACCCTCACTGCCCTAACTGATACCAGGGAGGTGAGATACCAGCTGACGAACAGTCTCAGACTCTGTCCACTGCCTATACCCTGCTATTCTAGAGCATCTCTGAAAACAAAGGAAAAAGGTCTCAGACTCCAGAAGCAGGAAGAGACGCTCACCTAAATCTGAGGCCTGGGCTGAAGACAGAGCTTGCCCACTGTACCAATGTTTAACATGTTAGGTTTTAGAAAGTCAGAAACTCACTGCTTCCTTTAAGTTGGTGATTGATGTTTAGAGGAGGTGCATGGGTGATCCCAGATCTACACACTCACACACTCACTCACACACTCTCTCCTCTCTCTCCTCTCCCTCTCTCTCCATAACCACCCCAAAGGTCAACCAAGGATGTCCCCACTCCCAGGTGTTATTATTTGAGTCCTCTAAGAGATGCTAGGAGGTTAACCACACTCCCTGGCCTTGTGACTGCTGTCCCGACAGCAGGACAGCAGGAGGCCTGGATGGTTACCTTTCTTCGTGGGTTTCTTGCTGTTCAGTTGCCCGCTGACATCCTGCAGCCGCTTCTCCAGCTCCTTTTTCTTCTCCTGAGCTAGCTCCTCTTTAGATTTGGCTGCCTGCTTCTTCCCGCTTGTTGCTGTGGAGTGGCAGGGGAGCAGTGAGACGTTCCCTACAGCTCTGCCAGGAGCTGGTACCCAACAGGGTGGCCAAAGAGCCCCAGCCCCACACACTAGTGCATGCACCCCCCGCCTTGCTGCAGCATCAGGGCCTCTCTCTGGTGCAGAGCTGTTAGCGGATCCCTGTGTAGCAGGAAACACTGGGATGACCTGGAACCACCACTGGTGCATCTACCGAGTCCTCCTCCATCTCTACACCTCACCAGAGTCCGGAGCCTGGGCTATGGCTTGTCCTCTGTTCTCACAGGAAGGGCACAGACCCTCTGTCTCAGTCCTCCTCCAGTACAGCTATTCTCTCCTGCCTGAGTCACAGAGACTGACGTGGTCTGGGAGAGTTCAGCCTTCACCATCAGACTCCTGTATCATTATCACCCATAAGTCAGTCTGTTCCAGAGTAAATGAGGACCAAACACATGTGAGAAGCCACACATAGGGTGGCATGAGCCTAGACAGCGAGGGACTGCCTTGGGACTTCCCTTCCTCCCAGTCCCTAGGACCTGCACACCCTGGCAGTGACTGGTTCCTGTCTGGAGAAACCATCACATTCAGGGTGCCTTTTACCTAGGGGCAGAGTCCATCCTGTGAAGAGTCTGAACACTTGATCAGGAGAGGAAGTGGGACTCTTCCCTGCAGCCAAAGCCCCACATGGAGCTTTAGAAAGGGGAGTGAGAAGGATGAAAAGGCTAGGCCAACCCCAGGTCCTACGTTTTCACTACAGGCTAGTTAAGGCCCAATAGACATCTTCGTTACCAGAGAATAGGGAAGAGGATATGGGGGTAGGCATGCACTGGCTGAGTGTAGATGTCCCTGGAGCCTGTGGTGGGCAGGTAGGCTTAGACAGTAAGGCAGCTGTGAGCCACTGCCCACTCTCTGGGGCTACAGAGGCTATGAGCAGCATGCTCTACCAGCAAACTTACACAATGGTTTCCTCTGCTTTTTCTGTAAACAAGACTTGACATATCTCTCCAGTTCCCGTAGCGTGGTTGGCTTCAGAGTCTCAAAGTCAATTTCAATCTCATCTGGGTTTGAGTCCCTGAGCGAGGGCTCCCGGGACTGGATGATGTGCACCACACGGCCTAGCTTCTCGCCAGGCAGTCGGTTGATGTCCAGACTGAGTTGACGCTTTTCATCATAGCTCATGGGCAGGCCTTCCTCCTCCTCTTCTGAGTCATAGGACGCAGACGCCTGCTTGCCACCCTTCTTTAGCTGTCTGAGGCAGAAGACAGGGAGCCATGTGACACTGAGTCTCAGCTATCTGTCCCACCACCCTGCCCTCTTCTTCTCCACTATAGACTGCTCTGTGCCCTAAGGGTGTGCCCAAAGTTCCTCGGGAACAAGAGCTGGGCAAGCTGTGTGAGGATGTCTAGACTGCCTGCCACGGACAGGTAAGACCGTACTTCAAGGTCACAACAGGTCTTCCTGGCCTAGGGCTGAGTCAGGAACCCCCTCTCAAACCCAACAGATCTCCATATTCAGATAATATGGGATGTAGCAGGAAGAGGAAAAACAAAACAAAACAAAAAACCAGGGACAGAGAGAGTGATACCTACAGATGTACACGTTAAAGCCAGGCCATAAAAGGCAGACTCAGTACCCAGGAAAATAGTCTTCTTAAAAACTGTCCCTAGCCAGGTGGTGGTGGCGAACGCCTTTAATCCCAGCACTCAGGAGGCAGAGGCAGGAGGATCTCTGTGAGTTCAAGACCAACCTGGTCTACAAGAGCTAGTTTCAGGACAGCCTCCAAAGCCACAGAGAAACCCTGTCTCGAAAAAACAAAAACAAAAACAAAAAAAAGACCCAACCTGTTCCTGAACCTCTGAACATGGATGTCAGTTTGGAGGTCTGGGCAACTTATGGGGCCTCTGGTAGTGGATCAGTATTTATCCCTAGTGCACAAATGGACTTTGGGAGCCCATTTCACATTGAGGGATATTCTTTCAGCCTAAGCCCTGCTCCAAATGATATGACAGACTTTGAATGTCTCCCATGGAAGGCCTCGCCCTCCCTGAGGAGAAGCAGAAAGGGGATAGGATTGGGGGTCAGTAGGGGCAGGGTAGAAGGGAAGGAGGGGAGGGAGGGAAACTGGGATTGACATGTAAAACAAGCTTGTTTCTTTCTTTCTTTTTTTTTTTTTTTTTTTGGTTTTTCGAGACAGGGTTTTTCTGTGGCTTTGGAGGCTATCCTGGAACTCACTTTGTAGACCAGCCCGGCCTCGAACTCAGAGATCCGCCTGCCTCTGCCTCCCGAGTGCTGGGATTAAAGGCGTGCGCCACCAACGCCCGGCTAAGCTTGTTTCTAATTTAAATAAAAAGATCAAAAAACAAAAAACTGTTTGTTCCTCAATTGAAACCCAGCGGTGGTGAAGCACACCTTTAATCCCAGCACTCGGGAGGCAAAAGCAGGCAGATCTCTGAGTTCGAGGCCAGCCTGGTCTACAGAAAGAATTCCAGGACAGTCAAGCCTACACAGAGAAACCCTGTCTCAGGGGGGGAAAAAAAGTCCCTAATTATTCTGTAATATTATAAGCCACCATTTCGGGAACCAGCATTGACATGGATACCAAATCCAGACAAAGACAGTATGAGAAAAACTGATTTCTGCATTCCCTTGAGGAGAAAGAGAAGAAAAGAGAGCCCAAGGCAGGTGGAAACAGAGACTGCCCAACTCAGTTACAAGCAGCTGTCAACGCCTCTCTGCTGCCACCATCTGTCCAAGGCAGTGTCCTTGCTTCCCTGACTGCTACCCAAGGCCTTGCCCTCCAGAATGGCCAGAAACTTCAGGAGTCTCTCTCTGCCTCCCTCCCTCTGAGGATGCCTTACCAGAGCAGGACACCTTGACAGGCCACATCTACTCTCTCCCCAGTGCCCCCCCCCCCCGCAGCAGTATCAACTCCATCCTAATTCCCCAAAGGCGCATGTCTGCTAGCTTTGCCTGAGGCTCTGTACCTAGCCTTTACTGCCTACCTGCCCACCTGCTCACGGCAGTCACTGCTCCCACCTAGCTAGAAAGAATCCTCTCTCCTGTTCTTTTCTACCCTAACCCCTTGCCCACCAGGTGCTCCAGAAATTAGAACACTTGGCTCCACAGTGAGTCTCCTTGGCCCACACCAAGAAAAAGTCCCAAAAAACCAGAAGCAAAGACACCTCCTCTGGCAGTGCAAAGGCTCCAACGCCCAGCATCAGAGCCAGACAGACCGGTAAGGGTGACCTCCACTGAAGGCCCCAGAGGCACCCAGTCCCCCAAAGTTCCAACCTAGTTCCCATGTAGCCAAAGTGCAAAGTCCCAGATCTGGCAGTCCCTGTGACCTGAGATGGCCCGAGGGCCTGGCAGGTGGCCACACACCTGCTGGCTGTGGTTGTGCTATTGGCCTTCTTGGTGGGAGCCTTCTTCTGCTGGGCCTGCTTGGCTGGTGGGGTGGCCTTGGCCTTCTTCTCCTCCTCAGACTTGGCCTTGTGCTTCTCCTTCTCTTTGTCCTTGTCCTTGTCTTTCTTCTTCTTCTCCTTTTCCTTCTTCTCCTTCTTCTTCTTTGGTTTGTTCACTGGGGCCTGAGACAAGGCGGCCAGCTGTTCATGCACGGCCTTCAGCTGGAAAAGAGCAGGCAGCTAAGAGAGAACTCTGGGTAGGCCTGCACCCCTGCGGCTGCCTCAGCTATGTGGGATAAGCCAGGGGCATCTGGACCCCACTCTGCCTTTGGAAGCCAGAGAGACGTAGGGAAGCACTCGAGAGCCCACTCTGCCCCTCTCTCTGTGCCTGCCGGTGAGTCACTTCACCTTCTGAGCCTGTTCCCTCACCCACCTCCCGGGTGGCTGCCTACAGGCTGGGCTTGGGGCAGGAGGAACTTGGTAACAGCAGCTAATACTTTCATTGTTAATGCTTATCTTTCAGATGGCAGGACTAGCGTGTGAGCACCTGCACAGAGGAGACATTCAACAGCTGATCCTGGAAGGTTCCGCAGCCAGTCTGCGGGATCAAAGTGAGACAATGGCAGCAGCTCACCCTCCTGGCGCCCGCCGGCAGACAGAAAGGCGGGTGCTGCGTGTATGTCTCGGGGAGGAGGGCTGTGACCCACCTTGTACAGGTAAGCACGTAGCCAGTGTGGCTCCTGGGTATCTTGCGAAAAGCTACACAGCCAACAGGGGAAGGGGCCGTGCACTGGGAAGGACTCACTCACTGGTCCTAAAGGCCACACCTCATGGCCAATTCCCCGTTCCATGTCCTCATCGTCTCAGAATCTGACATGTAGCTCCGTCTGGTGATACACTACTCTCCTGGCCCTGCCTCCCCCTGGGGCCACCTGATCATGCACACTACTTTGCCTTGGTGGCTGCACTCTGACTTCACGGGGCTGGCTGCCCCACCCTGGGGAAATAGTTCATGTTGTTGGGCTGATCCTCAAAACAAGTCACGTTACTCTGCATATCAGGAAGACTGAGGCACAAGAGGGCATAGGAGGCACAGATCGGAACCAGGCTCCAAAGGGTTCTTGGAGCCTGCAGCACACACACCCACTGTAGCCACTGCTTATGTATGGCTTCCAGGTCTTTCTGCAGGGCTCCACCCCCCGGGTGTCCAAGAGTGTCTGACACCCAAGTGCTTTCAGTCGCCTGTGTGCTCTTGGGTGTCAGGCTCCAGCCTCACACCCAGGAAGGTGCTGAGCAAACCCCACCTGAGACCCCCTCTAACAGCACCACAGACAAGGACAGCAGCAGCTGGAGGAGGAGTGATGGCAAGAGGAGAGCTTAGGTAACTAGGCTTGGCGGTCTACACCCAGTAGCAAGCAGCATAGAGATGGTTGTCCTCACCTGCTCCTGCAGCTCGGCCAGCCGAGTGGCTCGCTCCTCCTCTGAGTCTGAGCTGCCAGAGTCTGAAGAGCTCTCCTCACTACTACGACTGCTCTCAGCACCTTTGCTCACTATAGGGGCTGTGGGCGCAGGCAGCGCAGGTGCCTCCATAGGCTCATCAGGCATCTTGGCAAACCTCATCTCAAACACATCCTGGGGAGAAAGAGGGACAGCTGAACACTTATACACCCACAAGACAGCCCCCTCCAGCATGCAAGACGCCTCTGGGCTACACCACACCATACAAGGCTCACACTCTATGAAGGGACAGGCCTGCCACCTTCCCTTGTCCCCTTCTATCCCCAGGCAATTCCCAAGTGCAGGCCTAGAATGAGGGAATGAGGACAGCCAATCATAAACCTGGCTTTCTGGGGCCTGGCATGCAGCTCCCCTGGCTAATCTGCAACTGTGTACAAGGCAAGGACAGCCCTGCAGCCCTAGGTACCAGGCTCCTCAGGAATGCCCCTCTGTTAACAAGAAACTTCTCTTTAGTCCTCAACTCCAACGGAGACCCTAGCCACAGGGAGCTGGTTCCTACCTCACCTGATCCCCTTCCTGGGGTTTTACTACAGTGACACACCTCACACCAGTGTCAAAATGTGCAAAGCCAAATTTGGAAAAGCTCCTCACAGCTCCTACAGGATCAGGCACTTGGAAAACCCTCTCGATGAAGATCACTCTGCTATGGGGCAGAAAAGGATGAAGGGGCCATGTGAAAATAAGGGGGCATGGCATTCCCTTTGTCTGCCTCATCTGCCTCATATACTGGGTCCACCCAGATGCACACGGGAGTGCACGCACATGCACACCCACCATGCTGGAGCCCAGCTTCTGAAAGTGCCTACTGTGAGTGTGCTCTGAGACTCCTCCCAACCCTTAGATCCTCAAACTAAGAAGTCAGAGGTCTGGAAAGCTACTGCTGACAAGGCAGGATGGTGTTAGGCTCTAGCCCACAGTGTTTAGTCCATAAAATTAACAGTGGTGACTGCTGAACAGCACTGATAACAAAGCTTCTCCAGCCTGTGGCTGGGGAGCTACACAATCACCTTCGACAGGACAGCTTGGCTTTCAGTAGCAGCACAGTGCTCTTTGACATTGTGTGACAATGCCTTTGGAATCCCAGCGCAGAGAGCAAGGTCTCAGCAGTAGACAGGTCCTAAGGCTGCCTCTGCATATAAGGGGAACTCCGAAACTACTGTGCCCTGTTCCCCAGCAATGCCTGTTCAGAAGGAGCAGAGCACAGCCAGCACTGGAGAGACCTCATGCCTCACAAGGGCTCATTTTCAAAGGAAAGTGAGAAACATTAGGAAGATCCCCAAACGGGAAAAAGAGGCTTTGCCCACCAATCCTCACAACCCAAGATGGCTATCAGGGACCTCAGCATGTGTCTGAGGAAGGAACTAAGAAATCCTAAATGAACATTCTGGGTCCTAAAGCCAGGTATCATACACCTGTAATACCAGAACTCAGGAGACTGAAGCAGGAGGATGGCAATGAATTCAAGGCCAACCTAAGCTACAGAAGCAGACTCTGTTTTGAAGATTTTTTAAAAAAACTTTTATTTCATGTGGTTTTTGCCTGCACGTATGTACATGAACCACATGCATGCCGTGCTCACAGAGGCCAGAGGAGAGCGTTGGATCCCCTGGAACTAGAGTGATAGATGGTCGTGAGCCACCACGCAAGTGCTGGGAATCAAACTCAGGTTCTATGCAAGAATAATAGGCGCTCTCATCGGCTTAAGCCCCTTCTCCAGCCCCTCAAACTCAGTTAAAAACAACAACAACAACAACCAAAAAACCAAGAACCAAAAAAAAAAAACCCCAAAACCAAAATCACAATGTTCAGGTACTGGAAAAACTATCCATAATCTTTATCTCCAAAAGGAAACTGTTTTGATAACTCCTTCCAAGCAAATAATCAATTACAAACAGCAGAGAAATCTTGGTGTTCTATGCAGCACCTGGTCCTTGGCGGGACACCACATGCACATACAAGTGTTTACACATCCTGGGTGAAACCCCGTGATTGCTCACACTTGCACGGAAGGCTAAGTCTGTGGTTTTCCCCTCACACAGCCACTGTCATTCACTATAAGCCCACCCAGCCCTTCTCTAACGCCATGGCAGAGTAGACACCCACCAGACCCACTAGGGTACACGAGCCCCAGGTGGACAGGCTCACCTGCAGAGATACCCTGCAGGGCAGCTAAGCATGGGCTCCCACAGCCAAGAGCCACTGCCTGCTTTCCACCTTGGTATTCTAATCTGAAGCTTCCAAAATCAGAGGCTAGCCTACTCACCATGTATCCTGGGATCTGTTCTAGGCCTAGCAGGATCTCCTGCCACACAGGCAAAACAGGCTATGGAAATAAGGCTCCTCAGAGGCCTGCCTGCTGGAGATGCTTCACCCAGACTGTATCTAAGGGCTTCAATACCCATTGCATAACTCAGCTGGTAATCACATTTACACCCAGCCCTGGGTTACCTGTAGCTTTCTGGCCATGGCCACCACTTCATGGTCTGGAGGGTTGTACTTATAACAATTCGAGAACATTAACCGGATATCAGCTGCGAAGCCCTGTGCATCTGGGTACTCACGGCTGTCCATTTTCCTCTGGAACAAGCAACAAGTGTGAGCAGACAGCACTAGCCAGACCATGTAAGGGATAGATTCAGATCCTCAGAACATCCTCTGGCAACCAAGCCAATTGTCAGTCAGGATATCTGGCAATTAGCTTGGGTTGGAATCCTCAGGAGGGAGCCCTGGGGGAAGGGGTACGAAATGATGGTTCAACATGAAGCACCTGGGCTCCAAGGACACGGCCACTGGATAGGAGAAGCACTGGGAGATGAACCAACCCCACCCTCATCTAGAGTTTTCAGTTCCACGTGGCAGATAGCGCAGAAGGTTCTGGCGTTGGGACTTTTTTGGAGTTTCAGGTAAAGACTCAGTTTACAGAGGGAGGCTTTGCTTTTTCTTGTGAGGAATCCAGGAGCTGTTACCGACTTGCCTCATAGGAGATGCCTTACATCTTGGGCCAGAGGCAGTTCTGAGTTTGTGCCGGGGTGGAGGGCAGCAGGGGGTCTATGGAGCTGATGCTAACCAATCACAGAGACCTGGCCACCCCATAGCAAAGGCCCTCAGACTCCACTGACGTCTAGCCCAAGGAGTTCTGGCAAAGGTAGGTTGGGCAGGGTCACACAGGCACACAAATAAAGCTGGGCGGGGAGTGGGTTGGCATATTCTCAGCTGTTTATGAGGGTGTGTGGTTCCTGTCTTGTGTGGAGATCAGAAATCAGTGACCTAGGGGCTAAGCATCCACCGCAGCCTCTGACTGGACATGGATTCCTACCCAGTGGAGGGATCTTAATAACAGGCTTGGCCCTTGTGCCCAATGGCAACCCTGTTCTAAGGAGATGGATGCTGGGAGAAAACCCTCCTGGAGCTGGTATGACACATGCCAGTACAATTTCCTCCTTAAGCTTTATTATTAAACTCTGTTAATACGGTGGATCTGGAGAGATGGTTCAGTGGGGTTAAGGGGACTTGTTACTCTTGCAGAGGAGCTGGGTTCAGTTCCCATCACCCACACGGTAGTTTACAACCATCCATACATAACTCCAGTTCCAGGAAACTCAACAACACCTAACTTCTGTGGGCACCAGATACGCACATGGTGCACATACACACATGCAGGCAAACACACACACAAACAAACCTGAACGAACAAAAATTAAGGTATTTTTCCCTCTACTGCACAGTCTGTGGAAATCGAGGCTGCCTTATACTCTTCCATTAAAGTCTTCTCAAAGGGTTTGTCAGTTGGGCTCAGCCATGTGAGTTGCCTGGGTAAGCACCTAGTCTCTCTGTAAGCCTGAGCAAGGCACATGGTGACTTGGTGACTTTTCAGTGAATTCAACTCCCAAAGCTGCCTCATCTTGGACCCAAAAACAAATGAGAAGCCAACCAATCGGAATTATCTTGTCGCAGTGCATCCAAAACAGTGGAAACCCCAGTAAAGTTCCGGAAGCCCGCACAGTGGCACAGTAGTGACCAGGAAGGATACAACTAGGCTTCCAGCAGCTTCGGGACCACATGGCTCCCAGGCTCTGCTTCCTCACCCCAGCCCAGCTGGAAGGCCAGTTGCTTACTTCATTTTTTACTCAAATGAGCATCAGGCATGACATTGTTTAGGTGGCCAGGCCTAAACAATGGTCCTAATATAACCATCTAGGACCAAAAAAAAAAAGCTTCTATTGGGAGATTCTGCCTCGGGTAAGATGAGGTAAAACAACTTTGCAAGGCCGTCTGGATGAAACAAGCAACTGTCCCACCACCCGGCTTAGAGAAGGGGGCTGCCTACCTCAACTGGCGAAGGGAGTCCTGAGAGCTACCACAGGGATTTCCTCTAGGGAGGACAGAGGAACCAAGCCCAGCTCTGGGTCTGTCATCATGTCCCAGGCTCATTCTCCTGCAAAAGCTCAGGTCCACTTTCTTACCTGCCAGGCCCTGATCTGGCTGGACACAGCAAAACCCAGGATGAGACCCTGACTCTGGGAACCCTGGCACGGAGACGGCACAGCTGAGCTTGTGTCCTCAGTTCTTTGCCCATCTCTGCTTCCCTGTCTGCCTGCGTGGGAGCTGGGGGCTGAGGCAGGGTCCACCCCTGCTGGCCACCAGACTCCCGCCTCGGCTGTGAGGTGCCTACACATCAGGGATTGTGAGACAGGGCTTCTCTATGTAGCTCTGGATATCCCGGAACTTGCTATGGACACCAGGCTGGTTTCAAACTTACAGAGATCTACCTGCCTCTGCATCAGACTCAGAAGCAGACACCATTAAGAGGCCCTTTATCTGGCGATACAGAGCTGGAGGACAAAGGAAGAATCGAACCACTGATATATGTTTCACCAGAATAAATGACAATGGAGGTGCAGACTCAGGGGCCAACAGGCCTTCTTCCCTGACCAGGCCAGGGTATGAGCGGGCCCAGCTCTCAAGAGGCACAAGATGTATCAGCAGAACAGGTTGTGGAGGAGATCAGAGTGGGATCCGCCAGGCAGGGCCAACCAGGGCCACAGAGCGGCTCCTGGCTCTGGGCACTACCCTGCCCCTCCACCCCACCCCACTTACTTTGACTGTGCTGAGGTCCATGGGGTGCTTGATGATGTCATGGTAGTCATGCAGCTCCAGTGCCTCAGCGTCCACTGGCTTGTAGAAGGGCCATGCATAGGCCGCATGCTTCTTGGACAGCATCTCCCGGAGGATGCTGTCACAGTGCCGCAGGTGCTCTGACAGCTTCCCCTTTTTACCAGCATGCTGTGGGACCTCACCGTCTTCCAGGTCCTTCTTGGGAGGTTTGATGGGGCGGCCCCCGCTCTCCCGTCGGGCTACCACTTTGGCCTGCTTGGGCTCTGAAAGTGGCGGGGGAGACTCGCTCCGGCTGGCAGTGATGGCGGAGGTCGTAGGTGTGGTCGTGTCTGCTTTCCGCTTCACGCCCTTTTTCTGTAACAACAAAGTAACAGTGAACTCCAGAAACAAGGAAGCCTACAGGGAGATGTGTCTCACAGCTGCCACGCCTCTGGAGTGCAGACTGCCTGCCAGGCGCCAAGCTAGCGACCACATGCAGGGGTCTCATTTCCTCCTCAGCTGTCCCCACAGTACAGAAGACACCGAGGCTCAGAGGGGCCAGGCCCACAGTCCAAGGTCACACAGCTGGCCATGGTGAGGCTGGGACTCTCTCCCTCAGCCCTGAGGATTCAGCCATCCAGGTGGGTGAGCGTGCCACTGACCTGAGCAGCATGAGGTACTGCAGGGAATTCACCCAACCTCTAATAAGCACCACAGACTGGTGCCAGAGACAGGGACTCCCTGCTTCAAAGACCAAGAGGAAAGTGCCAGACCAGGCCCTGAGCAGGTACTTCAAGGACAGACACAAATCGAGCAGAAGGAAGGGAGGCAGGAGGAGCATTCCAGGCTGGATGGGTGGGGCAGCCTGACCAGGAGACATGAAGCAGCCACAGCAGTTAGAGGCCAAGAGACTCCAAGGGCTGTAGGCACGGAGAGACCAGGACTTTTATCTGGAAGGCACAGGCAGTGCAGAGGGCTGCTAAGCCCAGGAGGTGCCACAGCCTCCCGTGGGTGCACCTGGAGCTGGCTGCTAATAGCAGACAGGCATGTAGTGTCTGCCAAGGGAGCTGAGGGGGAAAAGGGTCTCTGCCACAGCCTGAAGAGCCCAACCAACAGGTATCACCAGCTGAGTTGGGACCAGGGTTTGGTATATACTGAGATCTGCTCGGCAGATTTCTCTTAGCTTGCTTAGGTGGGCAGAGAAGCCAACAGGAGCCACAAACTCACAGGCCAGGTGATGGCAACACAACCTGCCATTGACAGCCTCCCAGTTTCTTTCCCAGCCAAGCTGCCACCCTCAGGCTGACAGGGACACAAGCTGGCCATCCAAAAACATCGATGGGCACCTACAGGGTGGCAAGCACCAAGCGCGAGCTGCAAAGGACCTGGGGGGAGAGCAGACTCGCTGTGGCAAACAGCCTGGCCAGGCGCCACTGGGAAGTGCAGGCAGTGAAGGCCCCAGGGAAGGGAAGGCAATGGAGGTGGCGTTTTACCTTGGGAGAGCCATTTAACCCCTGAGCGCCCGTTTCCTCATCTGTAAGAGGGGGGACTACTGCCTGCCCCAGAGGGTCACTGTGAGGATCAAATTGAAGAAGATAACACACATGAGTGCCTGTTATGGGCCCTACCTAAAGCAGGAGACTCAACAGGCCTTGCCAACCCCGCACCTCACAGAAAGCCCCCACTCCATCTAGACCCAAGTAGGGCCCGGCCAGGGCAGGACAGGGTCACTGTGGAAAGTCCCGGCAAACAAGGGGTAGTTGTGGCAGGCCCTTACAAATCCAGGCTGCTGCCACTGGCCACCACTCCCCTAGGGATGACCAGAGATGACCTGACCCCTCTACCCTCACTACTCCCCCCCACACCTTCCATACCTTCCCCAACAGTTTGTAAAGGCCAGGGCTACCAGGCTGGAGAAGCTGGGGTTCAAGTCCAGCCCAGCCAGCACCAGCCATGTGACCTCAACCCCTGAGCCTCGGTCTCCTTGTCTGTGCAGAAAACCTCTCCAAACAGCTGCACCTAGACAGGCAGCAGAGGCCCCACCTGCCCAGTGCTGCTGCCCCTGCTTCAGGAACACTATGGGGCCTGGGCCCCCAGCCAACCTCTCCAGATAGCCATGCAGGCCTCACGGAAGCTCACCTTGACTACAGGCGGTGTGGGAGGGACCACAGGGACAATGGGTGTCGCAGGAGGAGGCGGTGCGGCAGCTGGGGGGACGGGAACCGATGTGACGTTTGCAGTGATGGTTGGTACAGGGGTGGCAGCAATGACGGGTGTCTGGGATACAGTGGGGGGTATGTTCTGGAAGGGGGTTGCTGGGGAGACCGAGGATACGGCTGCCACTTGTTGTGTACCTTCAAAGCAAGGATAGGGAGCTCAACTCAGTGGGCTCTGTATTTTCAGAAGCATCTAAGACCACGCCGTCCAACCATAGACAGCACTAGGACCTTCTAGGACAGACCAAGATACCCTTGCTACAAGAGTCTCTCTTGGGGCAGGGGTTGGCACTGCTGCCTGGGCAATGTTTACTCCGTGACCGGAAGAGGAAACCAGAGTAACCCACTCTGTGGGTGGAGAAACCCACTCAGAGCTCACGGCTAACTGACAACCCAGGACTCGGCTTTTCTCACACCTAGCTTGGTTTCAGCCACTCCCTGCCCAGTCAGCCATTCTGTCTGACACATCTCTAGTCAATACCTATTCTCAGACCTGGTTGGAACCCAGGTTGGCCCCATAGCTCTGGACAATGACCACCTTGACTCTCTCCAGCCGAGAGACAAACTCCTCTAAGCCAGACAGCAAGCAAGGCAAAGGCAATGCTAAGATCAATACAAACCAGAGTAAAATGTGGGAAGTCAGTCAGACATGTGACAGCAGCTACAGCAATATCCTCCCTGCCCCAGGCAGATCTGCCACCTGTCAAGCCCATCATACCCGTCCTACCTGGCAGGCAAGGGACACAATTCAGAGGGTCCAAGGGACTCACACCCGCCCCCTCCACTTAAGAGTTTCAGCAGAGCATGCCTGTACTCCCTGCCTGCCTGCCTTTTACCTGCACTCTGGGCTCCTGCAGCTGGCTTCCGGCCTTTGCCCTTTGGAGCAGGGGGCAATAGTTCAACTTCCTCCTGGGGCATCTGGGCCACTTTCTGCAGAAAGATTTTCTCTAAGGCCTGGGCCATTAGCACTATGTCATCTGTGGGCTAAAGACAGAGAACCCAGGTCACTCACTGTGAAGGGAGCTGTGTACTTGCAAAAGACACTGTACATTGTAGTTTAAGAAAACATTAAATTTTGTTAAGAGACTAGGTGTGTAGGAAAGGCAAGAGTAATATTTTTCAACATGCAATATCCCAGAACAGAAACAAAGCAAACGCATAGAGCGGCCTTTACCAAGCAGAGCAAAGGAGCTACCACAGCTCGGCTCCCACACCTCTCCTTTTTCACACTGCGAAAGACCAAATCCCCAAGCAAGGTCCCCTGTGACTCTGGCCATCTGCTCCTACACTGACCACTCTTCAGGGTTCCCAAGTCAGGGTGCTCTGTATGACACTTTGGGTGGCTGCCCATTGGGTCACAGCCTACTTGACTACCTCCTCTTGATGGAAGGCTGGGCCCCCGGTTCTGCATCCTAAACTTTCTAAGGGTGGGGCTCCTAGGCCTCAGGATACAGCACTCGGGCTGTATCAGTGACGTCTGAAAGATGTCCACTTTCCACTGACCCCCAGCAGGCCACTGAAATGGCATAGAGACTCACTGGCCACAAAAGTGCTGGACTCACAGGGCACCTGTGAGCCAATGACATGCCCGGGACCCAGGCCTCCCAGTGCCAAGCTTGCTCCCTCAAGCAGCTTCAGGGCTCATGTTTTGTGTCTTACCTTGTTATAAATATAACAGTTTGTAAACATGGTGTTGAAGTCCTGCATACACTCACTGGCACTCCAATAGTAATTATTTTCTAGTCTCTTCTTGATAGTCCCCATGTCCATTGGGTTTTTTATTATTTTATGATAATCCTAGGAAAAAGATGTTCAGAGGTGTTAATCAAATAGTCAATGTTACTCTCACATTTCCCAAGCACAGCAAAGTCCTCCCAAGTCAACTGGGTCTCAGGGCCAGGCCCAGAGGCCTGAGAGCAGGTGGGGCATGTGGTCTGAGGAGACTCTTGGTCAGTCCCAAATTCTTGCCAAACTTGTCCTCCTGTGTTTCTCCAGCCAGAGGCAGAGCCCAAGGTTCCACATTCACACAGAGCCAAACTCCCTCTGACTTTAAACCTGCAGGTGTCCAGGGACCAAGATGTGCACAGAACCAAATGAATGAAGTGCCTGCCCAGGTTTTCTTGTTGCAACTCTTCGGGTATCCAGATAAAATCTGAGTGTGCACTGTAGGGACCATCACCTGGAAAATGGGCCTTACTGCATACCTGGCATCTGACTGTGAGTAATCATGATGAGGACAGAGGCACAGCTCCTAGCGGATGGGATAAAGACTTGTGTGGTCCTCTGCGCCACGCCCCAGCATCCTCTAACCCAGTGGGCGTCAACCTTCCTAATGCTGTGACCCTTTAATACAGTTCCTATGCTGTGGTGACCCCAACCAGAAAACTATTTTTTTCTGTTATTTCATAACTGTAATTTTGCTACTGTTATGAATTATACCGTAAAATCCGATGGTCTTAGGCAACCCCTGTGAAAGGTTCACTAGACCCCCAAAAGGGTGACAACCCACAGGTTGAGAAACGCTGCTCCAGCCCCTTCCTCTTATTCTTTTTTTTTTTGGTTTTTCGAGACAGGGTTTCTCTGTGGCTTTGGAGGCTGTCCTGGAACTAGCTCTTGTAGACCAGGCTGGCCTCGAACTCACAGAGATCCACCTGCCTCTGCCTCCCGAGTGCTGGGATTAAAGGCGTGCGCCACCAACGCCCGGCCCTTCCTCTTATTCTTTCGCTATGGAAGCCATAGGTTCTCCCCATTTCTTGTACCCAGAGCAGTCACCCTGTTGGACCAATGGCCTCCTGAGGCCCTGCTGCATCTCAGACACCACCTTCGGGCAGGATTTCCAGGAGTGGGCTAAGGGCCACTCACAGGCAGGTTCAGCTTGATTGCATCCACAGGCTGGTAGAACGGCCAGGCGAACTGATGTTTCCAGAGCGTCTTCACCACCACATTCTGCATGTACTGCAGCTGGTTAGTCTTTCGGCCAGGCTTGCTGGGGTTGGAGACCTCGGGTGGGGGAGGGTTCACAGGGCCCGGGGCTGCCGGGATCCCCGTGGGGGCAGCCGCTGTAGTAGTGGACATCCTCTGGCAGCTTGTTCACTTGCTGTCACAGCAGCAGCTCAGAGAGGCGCTCCTCATGGAGGCTTGGCATCCCATTTCTGGGCCCAATCAGGCACCTGCAGAAGCAAGCAGAGAAGCTGTCACTCTGAGAGCCTCCACCTGGGCAAGGACACAACCTTCCCCACCACCTGGATACGTGGCTGCGGCACTCCTCAGAGCCACCCCAGACACTGCTCTTCTACCTGGGAAAATTCAAATGTGAGTCACTGGCTCCCGGCAAGAGGGTGAGGAGAGCACAAGGGGCCTAGCCCCTTTCAGCTCACAGCTCCACCGAGCGGTTGGGGCTGGCTCAATTACACCGGACCCTCAACTACTTGGCTGTGGCAATGTGTTAAAACAGTTCAGACTCAGAGAACTACAACATGGACCCAACAGCTTAGCTGAGAGATGAGCAACAACTGTTTGCAGACCTAAACCTAGCACAGGGAGCGGGGGCCCTGAACAGGGCATGGCATGAGATTCTAATGTAACCAGGAGAACCAGCTGGGGTTTGTGATGGTGGCCAGCTGTGACATGCCTGACCCTCATCCAATCAGAATAGTGAAAGAGGGTGATCACAACCTGTGTGCTCAGTTCCTGAACAAGACACATTCTGCGACTTCCAAGTCTCCTATCCTAGATGTCAGGAACGCTGGCCACACATAGGGCTGCAAGGCCAGGGTGATGTGCAGCACTGGCAGCATACAGGGTGTCCCCACTCTACAGAGTCCCTGCTGTAACTCTCACAGGGTGCCCACTGTATGGTGTGCCCCACTGCACAGTACCCTCATGGCAAGGCACCAATAAGGGAGCAGGACCATGCAGCAGAAATTCAACAGGAAGGATACTATAAAGCAGAGGTAGAGCACAGTAAGACCTCTGTGTACTACGTGGCAAGAACACTCTAAGAGGGGTTTGAGACATGGCTCAGAGGTTATGAGCACTGACTGCTCTTCCAGGGGTCCTGAGTTCAACTCCCAGCACCCACATGGTGGCTCACAACCATCTGTAATGATATCTGCCCTCTTCTGACCTGCATGCATGCAGGCAGAATATTGTAATAAATCTTAAAAAAAAAACACTCTAAGAGTGTACAGGGGGAGCTGTGCAGGAATATACACAGATCCCTCAATATTCAAACCTCTAGCAGTCTGTTAAGAGTGGTGGAAACCCTGAGCAAACAAACGCATGCTGTTGACACGGGCACAACCACAGCCTAAGACTAAGAGGAATGGCAAAGCCCTGCCCACTCCCTGGGATAACACCCAGAAAGGAAGAGCAAAGCCTTCTTCTGATCTATGTGTGCAGAACACACCCACCATAGCACCCCCTCACACTCTTACAGCCACAACTCTTACCGAGATTAGCTAAACTTGTCTCCTTGACCCAGCTATATACCGTAAACCCTGCCTCCTTGCCTATCTGCATGTAGTAACCCTGCCCCCTTGTTGAGCTGTGTGCAATAGCCTGCCTCCCTGGTCAACTGTGTATCAAAACGTGTTCAACTTCCAGGGTGCTGCAGCTTCTCCATCAAAAAGCCCAGTTCACCTTCCCGCCATTCATATCTGCCTGTCCTTTCTTCATTCCTTTGATGCCGTCAGGTCTGCACCTAAGACACTTGCAAGGACTCGGCAGCTCTCCCTAGAGGCAGCTGGGCAGCACCATGTACGCACTGTGGACCCACATCCACTGGTAAAGGCCCAGCCCAGGCTCCATGCTGCATGTGGGGCCTGGTGCCTCATTTGTGAACCCGGTGTCTTTCGGACTTCCCTCTGTGTTTATGCTTATCACATTGGAAGGGTTCAAGGCAACACCCAGAGGTGAGATGTCCAGCCAATTCCAAGACTTACAGGTGGACCAGTGAGGCTCGGGAGTGCTCTGGCTGGCCGACATCCTGCTGGTCCTTTCAAGTCTCACCACAGAGGTTGGTAAGTGCTGCAATCTGGAAGATCTTCTGGAGAAGCCTGGCTGCTAAACATTTGGCAACATCTACTCTCAGCGGGTTCCTTCCACCTCAGCTCAGGGTGGAAAAGGTCTCCAAAACCTACATCAGACGTGTCACCTGCCAAGTAGCTCTGACTGTCCACTTACTGCACCCAGGAAGTGCTTCTGAGCATCTGGGGTGCCATCTGTGCTTGCACTGAGGCTCTCCCGGCATCATCCTGGGCACCCACAGCCTCAGGGAATAGATCAGTAGCCAAGCAGCTCCTCCGACCTGGGCCCACAGCCATGAAGCTGTGTCCTCCTTCCCTGTAGACCAAAGGCTACCTAGGCACAAGGCCAGGCTATCTATCCACCAGAGTGTCAGTTCCTACCTCCACACCATTTCTCATCATCAGACAGTCCTGTCCTGTACAAATGACCCTGATAGCATACTGGATTAATCACTTGTAGGTTCAAAACCCTGCTCCTGACTCCACACTAACCAGCAGAGCTGCTGTAGCCACATTAGCCTTCATTATCCCTCAAGACCTGGGGCTGCAGAGCGGATGATGAGGTAGCCCCCCCAGGATTACAACTCATCCTTGCTATCTGCCAGCCTCATAATGTGCCCTTTCATCTCCCATGGGGCTGTGAGCCTGAAGTTAAGCACTCGGGGCTCAGGGAGCACAAGCTGGCTATGACCAGTGTAAGAGTGGAAGTTGACTCTCGGGACCCACGACACTGAAAGGGACCTGGGGCTGCAGACTAAAGAGCAGGAAGGCCTCCTCTGAGGAAAGCAGATGGCCATAGCCCTTTCCATACCCAGGTACTGGGAGCCTCCTGCTGAGATGTCCTACTGCCTGGGATGGTGACAAGTGGGGTGACAGCAGGGTAAGAGGTGGGGAGGGTGGAAAAGCTAAGCTGCCCAGTCCCCAGGACCACCAAAGAGAGGCGCTGAGAGGTAGGACCCCAACCAGTGGGCTAAGCTCCCTGGCTGTGGGAGTTTGGAAGAAATTAGTCCCTACAAGCTCATAGGGAGTGGCTCTATAAGACGTGTGGCTTGTTGGGAGTAGCTATGGTCTGGTTTGGAAGAAGTGTGTCTCTGTGGGGGTGGGCTTTGAGGTCTCTTCTGCTCGAGCTTCCCCCGGTGTGACACTGAGACCACTCCCTCCCTATTGCCTTCGAGCCAACATGGAGCAGCTCCTTCTCCAGCACCCTGTCTGCCTGCACACTCCATGCTTCCTGCCACGATGACAAATGGACTAAACCTCTGAGACTCTAAGTGAGCCACTCCGATTAAACCTTTTCCTTTCTAAGAGTTGCTGTGGTTATGGCGCCTCTTCACAGCAAACCCTGAGACACTGGCACAGTACCATCTCTTTGGACTGAGTTCAGATGTCTACATACTTCCCTTCAAAGCACACTCAGTATGGCAAGTCTGGACAGCAGGGGCCACTATAACCTAGCCTAACCTTCACTCATCAATGCCTAGCAACCCTCAACCAACCAGAGAGCAGTGCTGAGTGAACCAGACACCGTCACACAGGAGATGCTATGTCAGTGCCAGAACCTGTGAAGGAAGGACTTGCTTGAAAGCCATCTCCCATAAGAGAAGTAGTTTTCTGACCCACAGTGAGCCCACACTGCTTATCAGAGCGAATGTTAGGAGGGAAGTAGGCTTCCAGCAAGTGCAACTGAGACAGATCATCAAGGCCTGCTGCAGGCAGGGTCAGAGACACACCAGAGCACACAAACAGGCAGATTCCCATTAACACAAGGAGCATGGGAAGCAGTGCAACCCTAAACCCAGCCTCTAAGGTATCTCCCGGTGATATGGAAGAGTCATGGCAACCAGAACGCCAGCAGGCAGGCCATGTCTGGGGCCCTCTATCTCACTGATGAATATATCCCTGCAATGCTCACAAGCCTACCCATTGGAGGTGCCCCTCCCCTACCTTTCCTTCTTTTTTGTTCTGGCTCAAGACAAGAGTCTCATTCTACAACTCAGACTGGTCTGGAACTCACTATGTAGCTCAGTCTGGATGACCCTACCTATGATGTTCCTCTCGTTAGGTCACATGTTTAAACTGCCAATTTTTCAGATTTCAGAAGGCCAAATCAGTGGCCACAACACCGGTGGTATGGGGTGGGGGAAGTCTCTCCTATGCAGATCCCTGTCCTCAGGCCTAAGAGAACACTCCATCCAGCATCAGCATCACCTTCTTCAGAGACCACATGACCAAGGGCCAGCTGCTAAGAGGAATAAAGACAATGACCCTGCAGCAGGAAAGCTGTGGTACCCAGGGCTGACTGCTCTACAGAGTCCTGGATCCCCTCACTTGGGCCTCCAGGACAACAGACTCCATTCTATTATTCAGGAGCCAGGTTTGAGGTACGGTGTGGCACTCGGGACTGAAACACAGGGACTTAACTTGCTGGAAACCCTTGATGGAGAGGGAATAGAGGCCACTGACCTCAATCCTGACTTAGGATTTGATCATCTTCGGGCAGCAGAGCTAATTCTATGGGGGTGATGGCACTGTGGTTGTGAATTTCAAAATCTTATCTTTTAGGGGTCTGCACTGCACATTCCATGAATGACAGTGTCTGGAGCTTGATGGCATATTGGGAGAAGCAAAAGACAAAGGGCAGTCTGGACAAATCACACAGCTTAGGACTGTCACGAGAAAGGACACCCCATCTAAATTCTTGTCCTAATCTACAAATTTGTGCCGTAAGCAAAAGAAGATGCACCCTCCTCCTTGGTCCCTAGCCACACCCTTTAAGAAGCTGAGGCTGGGGCCTCAGGTAGGGTGGCTAGAATGGAACGAAAGTAGAATGCCAAGGAGATCTCATGACTTCACACATTTCTAACCTACAGAGTCTCCCTGAACCCCACCTGCTCCAGGAGAGGCATGGAGGGGCTCCAGCAGCTTTGGGATTGCTCTTTGTGGTACAGATGGTCCTACGCATTTGGTACCCACAGAGCTGGTACCCAACCTTCTAGGTGCCAGTTCTAAGGGGTGCACAATAGGATGGCAGGACCTCACACAAGAAAGGAGCTGGTGGACCTTGGCATTGACCATACAGCTCCACTGAGAGCCAGTGAATGCCAGACAAGTCTTCACTGCAGACTGCCCCCAGGGGGCACCATTCTGTCTGCTGCATATCCAGCTCAGCTGCTGATCTTCAGTAAGTCAGTACACAGTAGTCCCAAACCCTCTAAGGACTGGTCACAGACGCTTCCACACACTATTGCTAATACACACAGCAACCTCTTCAGTCAGGCACGACAGAGATGGAGCCCGTACCTCATGGGGAAAAGGAGGCTCACCTCCCCAGGCCTGCCACTGAGCAAGGCCTGACTTGTCTACAGAGCCCTGGAGTCCCCTCACTTGGGCCTCCAGGATAGCACAGGACACCCACAATGGGCAATACCTCAGGACAAGTGTGGGTGAAAGTCCGTCTGAGGAGGCATCAGCCTCAAGAGGATGTGAAACCACCTAGTGTGGAAACTCAGACAAACCACAAAGGCCCACAAACACCATAGGAAGCCTGGAGCAAGGCTCTAGTGAGACCTATGCTTCAGAGGAGTCACCCAGAGAGGGCGGGGCCAACTCATATCCTACACTAATGACAGCCCCCTTGCCATAGCAAGGAAAGGCAAGAAAGGCCTATAAAGCCTCAACTCCCTATTAACTCCCGGCACCCTCTTGCCCACCTGCCAAAACCATTCAGGACATAGGGAAGGAAGGCCTTAATCCTGAAAATTTTCCAGCCTCACTCTATGGCCTTAGGAAGGCCACCCCCTGCCCTTCCCCAGGTCCAAGAACGAAAGGAAAAATCCATCCCTTTAAGTCCAAAGGACAAATCAGCAAAGGTGAGAGGCCAGGGCTCAGAGGCCCTGGAGAGACATGGAGGGGTAGAGACCTTCAATTTTATTACCATAGAAAACACCCAGCAAGCTCAGTGTAACCCTTACAGCCTCCTCCTCCTAACTCTCAAGCTATGTGGATCAGGCCCCCTCACCTCCCCCCCACACACACACACCAGGCCAGCACTACTCGACAGCAGGGACCTGAGGGCCAGGACCCCTTGCAGCCTAGTGTTCAGACATGGCAAAGGTCAGCGCCACAGCTACCCACACAGCTCCTCTCCCCATGTCAACCCTGGGTCAGACCAAGCATAGGACAGCTGCCAGGCTTTAGGAGTACATCTAGCCTGGGGAACCTTTCTTCAGACCCAGGGAAGAAGCCTCTACTCTGAGCTTCAAGGCAAGCTGAGAGAACTGTCTATCTAGGAAGGCTGCCCTGGCCATGTGTGGGGGAAGAGTCAGGAAGGGGCAGAGCCAGACCAGCTCCCAGGGACTCCAGGTTCGAGCCGCAGAAAGGCAGAGGCCATCCTAAGAGGCTCCCAGCTGGGGACATCTGAGATCTGCATCAAGTGGCCCCGGGGAGGAGGCAGCGCATGCATAGATGCTGAGGGGGTTGAGGTCTAGAGCCTCAGCTGACCACAGACCACTGCTCTGCCAACCACAAGATGCCTTAAGGAAGCTGTTTCACTCAGGAGACAGAGGCAGAGTTCCAGGATATAGCACGTTCCAGGACAGCCAGGGCTATGCAGAGCCCCTCCCCATCGCCACCCCCAAGAGGCTGTCTCCTGTGATAAGCAGCTCACTAGGCAGCAGGAACCTGAGGGCCAGCACCCTCTGCAGTCTAGTGTTCAGGCTTGGCAGAGGTCAGAGCCACAGCTACTCACACAGCTCCTTTCCCCAAGTTCAGCCCCAGGTCCTTGCGGCTAGCTCCGATACATTGGTGGGCACCCATGGGCTCCACCTCTCGGGTAGGTGAGTGGAAAGAAAACAGAGGCCCAGTATGGCCCAGGCAGGAGTCAGAGCCAGGCTCCAACAGGGCCATCTACCCAGACTCACCACTATCCCCACAGAACTCTCAACAATGCTGTGGGGCTGCTGCCTTCACGCTGGCATACCAGTTGGGTGCCCTGGGAGGGGCCACCCTAGGGCTGGCCCTCTAAGCCTGGGGAAACGGATCTGTTAGGGCAGGGCCAGCTTCTGTGACAGACAGAGCCAACTGCTCATTGCTGTTGGGGCCTGGGGAGAAACATGGCTGGGGGCCTCCAGGAAGACAGGAGTCTATATGGGGCCTCCCTGTCCACTTGCAACTCTCCTGAGCGACACTGCCTGCCCTTTACTGCTAGGGAGCCCCAGCAGCAGCACCCCAAGCTCACCCTGGTCATATCACACCTGCTTCTAACAGCTGCCTGGCTCTGACTGGCAGGGGACCTAGCTCTGACAGGCCAAGCCCCACCCCATGAAGGGTCAGCTCTGTTGAACCCACGGTTGTCAGATGGAAGGGCACACAAGGCCCAGTGACTGCAGCTGTCACCAGCCACCATGCCTCTGACTTCCAACAGTTGCCCATAGCTCCAGGCCACTCATGCTTCCTAAGTTTGGGTTTTCTTAGGCCTTTGTGCCTTATATCCCAGCAGTCTGCCCAAGGAAACTAAGCTGCTCTTCCTCTGCAGACTGTGGCCTCCAGAAGGGCCTCTCAAATACCCTGTCAGAGCCACCTACACTCTGCAGAGAGAAGGCGGACCACCAACCTTGTACTTACAGGGGTCCCAGCACCTTTGCAGGGACCCCCCACGCAACCCCAGGGGCCCCGAGTGCACTAACTAAGGCTCAGGGAGCCTGACACAATGTTGAACACTTAGCAGAACAAAGCTGGGCAGGAGGCCCACCTGGCACCTGGCTCTGTTGGGTCGCAGAAGAAATGCGCTCCTGCTGGGCTGCATAACCAGCACCCCCTCAAGGCCTGGTTTGTAGGTGGCTAAACTAAACTAAAACCCACAAGGACGGTCACCTTGCCTTTCTTCACCTCTGTACACCCCGAAGCAAGACCAGGGGCCAGGATAGGAGGTCAATGCAACTACTCACAGCCCAGCAGCTCAACTACCTCATCTCATCTGCCCACCCAAGCAAGAGAGGTGTCAGTCAAGAGAAAGCCACCACCTCCACCAGCCCTTACTCCCATGTGTCTCCCCAAGTCCCTCCCCTCCATCCAGGGGCCCTGAGGAACTGGTTCCATCAGACCTCATGGGAAGGAAGGCTGAGAAAGGCGGTGGCCTGGCAGACCACAAGGCCAAGAAGCACGGAATCGGGTGAGTCGCAAGGGCCAGGAGCCCAGGGGTACCACCTTGCCCTGCCCACAAGACAGGCTCCAGGCCCACCTGGAATAGACTGGGGCAGAGATAAGAATGCTGAGCACCACAAGGGCACAAGCTTCCCGAGTCCAGTCCTCCGCATCTGCCCTGGTTCCAGGGGGATGGCTCAGCTCTCCAAGGCCCTCTCTGGTGAGCAGCCCAGGGGAGAACACTACCCACAGAGCTCAGTCAACTTCCCTTCTTTCCGCCATGCGTTAAAGGGCACAGCATAGGCACAGCAAGCCCAATGACAGCAGCAACTGCAACTGCACCCACTCAGGTATCACACAATGCTCACGAGGAACTGAGGCCATCCTGTCCCTGTGGCACAAATGTCTCCTCCGCCTCAGACTCCAGGAGCCATAAGGCTCCCCCTCTACAGGTCACAGTGTCTGGGTATGTCTTCTGGAAACGTTCAGACATGGGTGAGGAAACTCAACCTCTAACGCCACTGGAAGCTGGCCAGGGACCCTTGCACATCACTGTGCCCACGTGACACTTCTGACCCCCCCCCACCTCCAGCCCCCAACACCTAATGAGCCCTTCTGTGGGACTATGATGGGGCCTGATGAGGGGAGGGCTTTCCCCAAATTGTATGTCCAGTTCAAGGTCATCAGGCCATACAGACACTGAGAAATCAGAGCCAACAGTGCTGGCCTTCCAGAGCCAAAGCTTGAGACACACACACACACACAGGCACACACACACACACACACAGGCACACAGACACACAGGCCTCAGATCTTCAGCAACCAACAGGCCTACAAAGACACTACCAAATTGTGAGCACTCAAAATGGGACACCTACCCTGCAAAGAGCCCACCAACACTTAAGATGGCTGGGTGTCCCAGAGGGCAGCAATCACCACAAATGACCAAAAGGGCAGCACATCTGTCAAAACTTACTGCAGACAGTAGCCCCCAGGTGAGGCTACTGCACATGGGTGCAGAGCACAGCTTCATCAGGCCCCATATGGGTCAAGGCTGCCCCATGGGAAGGGGCACTGCTGTCTGTTACAACTTCAGATTACAGCCTGAAGCAGGAAAGGGTCTCCACTGGATCCTGGACCCCCCCCCACTCAACAGTTAGTTCCCGGTGCCTCTTCCTTGTGAGATCTGGGCATTCCAGCATGTACTTCAACAGTAGGCAGAACATCCCACTTGTGGCCTTGGGCCTCCCTCCCCCGGGGAAGGCGCTGCCACAGTAAACCAGGAAGTGGACAAGGTAACCCTGGGAGGCCCTGGGGGCACAGCTCCAGGCTGGCAGGAGCCTGAGCAGGAGCAGACCTGACTGTGCCTTCCCTTTCAACACTCCCCCACTTTCACTTTCTGTGGGTCTAAGGGAGGGAGCCTTTACAAGCTCCATCCCTTGTTCAAAGCTCACTTCCCAGGCAGGATACTGCACCGTGGAAAGAAAGCAGTTATTCTACTTTGTAAAAATAAACCTGGCACCTTCTTAAAACCAACACAAAAAAACCTGGCACACCCCCTGGCCATCCAGCCTGCAACAGCTCTTCAATGCCTCTCTCCTGGGTGTTTCGAACACAGGGCTAGGACTGGAGCCACAGAAGTGCCTTGCTTCAAGCACTGGGCCCAGAGCTTACTAGCAGGGTCAGAAAGACATTACCCCTGCCTCTTGAGCTGCCAAGCCTGTACCTCACCTCTCCTCATCTGCAGTCAGCAGCACAGGCAGAACAAACAGCAAACAGGCCTTTATTTGCAAAATGAGAGGCCATGGGGCCACCAAAAAGGCCACTGGGGCCTGGGACTGCTCTTTGCAGTTGTCCTTTCCTGGACCCTAGAAAGCCGGTGAGAAACTCTTCAAGGAGTACAGCAGGGAACTCAGCTCTCTTCGGGGACATCCCCATGAACCCACAACGAACGAACTTTCTAAGCACTAAGAAAGTGCAAAACAACACGGGGGGGGGGGGGGGAACCAGCCTGTCCTCACTGGGGGCAAAGGGGAGGAAGGAGCTCAGTCCAGCAATTCCTCCTCTTACTTTCCTTCTTGCACCCAGCCCCATGTTAGCTACTTACCACACGAACGCACACGAACACACACACACACACACACACACACACACAGATACAAATGTCTACTACAGTTATGAAGTTTAAGGAACAGAGGAAAACAACAGCTGTGCACTTATTTCAGGCAGAGCGCTCTCGATCAAAATTGCAAAGGGCAGAGTCTTAGGACTGAGCCCTAAAATGTGAACTCACAAAAGGATATGCTCCCAGTGAGTCCCCTTCGTGCCCCTTACCCCAAGGGCAAAGAAAGCTGTTCAAGGCTTCCACGTCAGCCCTGCCCCCGGGGCAGCAACTGACTGGCGAAGAGAACTTCCCCAGGCCGCCAGGTTTTCTTCCCCCGGAATCCTCAAGAGAGGATTTGGGGTGCGCATTCCTAGCCCAACTGACTTGCGGGTTATACACGAAGTGGGAAAAAGACGTGCACCCCACCCCTCCCACCTCGATTCAACTGGACCTCGCCCGGATTAAGTACTCTTTCGGGCTGATTTCAAAACGCGAACTGGGTTTCCTCCTGACCTGGCTGCCATAATCAGTAACTCGCGAGAGTGCAAAGTCGTTCCATAACTCTGCAAACGCGGCCGCCGCCCCCCAAGCCACGCCGCCGCTGCCCCCCTGGCAAGGCTCACGCAGAGCCCAGGCCCAGCCTGGCCTGCCCCGAGACGATCCGCCC